ACGCTAAATCTCATCACCACCCATCACAGATACAGGCAGTGGCAAATACATTAATTGCTCGGTCCTTCAGGCTCACAAACGAGAGGAACAGAGATAAAGAACTGAAGAAAATTAGTACCTGTCTTCGACAAAACGGATACCAAAGGCGCACCATCAGCAAGGCAATCGGTAAACAACAACAGCCGCAGCAGAGAGTGCAGGACGAGACCCAACGAAGATCGATCGCTGTCCTGCCATACATCAAGGGGGTTACTGACAAAATCGGCCGAATATTACGGAAACACGACATATCAACGGCATACAAACCTGACCATACCATCGGAGCAATACTAAGAAACCCAAAACAAAAAATTACTCTGGAAAACCAAGGAGTATACAGTGTAGCATGCGGATCGTGCAGCCTGACGTATGTGGGACAGACCAACAGAAGGATTTCAGCCAGGCTCGAGGAACATCGTTTAGCCATAAGAAACAAACAAACAACATCTGCTTTGTTTCAGCACCAACATCAGACAGGCCATAAAATTGATTTCGGCACTTGCAAACAGATAGCTAATATTCCTGATTTTAGGACTAGGATTATACGAGAGGCCATCGAAATAGAAAAGTGCGGACACCTCAATACGAGAGACGACGCTCTGCATTTATCCAACACGTGGAGAACGATAATCAAACAGCAGAGCGATGCGCAGCAGCCAACGGGGACATCGCAACTACGATCGGGCGAAATTAACAACGCGACAATTCAGGGGGCGGAGCCACCTCCCCCCACGCACAAGCAGCACCGTTACCATCTCCGGCGCAGAGTATAAATACCGCACGCACCGCCGATAACCTCCCAGTGTTCGAAGTGTTTTCGGAGCGCGAGCATTGAAGATGCCAAGTGAGATTTTGGCGAAACGTCTGCAGGATTCCAGTCGGATGCAAGATTTGCAGGATTCCAGTCGGATGCAGGATTCCAGTCGGAGTTCAACGAGCGAACGGATGATATCCCGGAATATAGTGTCATCACATTTTTCCATCCGTGAATCAATACGTGAGAATATATATATATATATATATATATATATATATATATATATATATATATATATATATATATATATATATATATATATATATATATATTGGATTGGCTTCACTAATGAAAAAATGGTAATTAAAAATATATACAAAATATATTTAACTTCGAATTGAATTTAAGCCGAGTCATTTGAAAAAAATGGCCTAGTTTTAAGATTCGTAATTGTTATATTAATGAAAGAATTAGTGCAATTTATAAATTCTATAGAATGAAAATATCAGTTATGATGTGCTTGTCGAAAATAATAATTAATTCTAGTAAAATCGATAACTAATATTGCACATAATATGAAAATATTTGCATAGCTGCTTGTGTGACGTAGCTGACGAGACGGTCACAATAAGAGCCCTAATGTCTTGACCAATTAGAGCACTTATCTTTACGTTTTTTTTTCTTCTTCTAATACCATATTTTATTATTTTACGTGACGAAATAGACTATAGATATTTACATGCAAATTTAAATGGATATTGCTGGTTTAAACTTAAACTTTAATGAACTCTCCTTAAATGACTATTTCAAAGAGAGTCTCTTATATTCTTCGTCATGTGAAGTGTCCGTCATCGAACGTTGGCTATCATATTGGCTATCAAAACTTTATTCACGGCAGCTCTAAATAAGGCTGTACTTGACGTATGGAACCATTCCCGAAAATTGCAGTGCATAATTAAGTGGAGCCCATTATAGCGCTCAGGATGTCGCATTACATGCGCAAAATATTCTAACTTTCTGGTCTTAATCAATTTAATTATTTCGTCGTTGCGGATTCTGTCCAGCTTTCCATCCCATAGAGCAAAGCCCCAAATATGTAATATCTTCTAAGCCTCAACCTAAGTCCGATGTTGAGGTTTCTGCTGCATAGCTCTGTCTTCATTCGGAAAAAAGCAGCTCTAGCTTTTTCTATACAAATTTTGAATTCTTGGCTCATATCCCAGTTGTTGTTTATGCTAGAGCCCAGGTACGTAATATTGTCTACCTGCTCAAACGGGACTCCATACGCTGTAGTCACATACGCGTCTACCGGTTGTTTATTTACAATCATACATTTCTTCTTTGAGGTCTTCAGTTTTAGTCCATATTCGTTACATACATTGCATCTTTCGTAGTTCTTCCCGAGTATTGGCTATGTTGTAATGAGATTTTAATCTGTTGTCCATGTACAGTGCACGACTATAATATCGAACAAAAAGCTAGTATTAGTAAAATTCTTAAATTGTCACAATTACATTTCTGTCACTAAAGAAAGTGAATATGGCGCATCTAAATGAAACTCAGAGAATTGAAATTTTAATTTTTATTGGATATGGAGATAAAACAGTAACTCAAGAAGAAGTTTGTAATTTGTTTAAAATAGGATATGTCAAAGAAATTATTTTATTAAGTGTTGAGAATGCTCACCATTAACTTGACTTCTTAATTGACCGGTCAAATGACCACTTCTTAATTGACTAGTCAAAAAATGTTTTTAATAACATCTTGCAATTGTAAAGAGCTATCTATCATTATTTAATAATAAAATGTATTTTATAATAAATTATTATGTGTTTGTGATGTCCAATTTACCTATAATCATCTTCAAGGAATATCCGAATACGATACTTAGAGATTTGGAGAATCCCAATAATAATATCGACTCCATTTGGTTCCCGGAACGATGCGATGGCGACGTAACGCACAGTATAAATAGATATAAATATAAATTGCATGGTATATTAAAAATTATTCCGGTTACTTGATCAATATGATAATAATCAACATTACTCAGCATGTTTTCATTATTTTACCATATTTCGCATCTAATTTTAAATTTTAAATCATCTAAATTTAGTGGTTTTTTGCCCACTTTTGATTTTGAATATTTATATTTAAATATCAATATTTTTTTATAAATTCTCCAGCATATTATGAAAAGAGTCCAAAATGTATTCTAGTACAAACTGCATATTGCCGTGTCTCTGCAACAGTACCTAATAAAAAAACTGGTTCAAAACTTGTCATCAAATAAATAATTTCGCTTTGTAGCTTAGCTAAAGTAATCTCAGCGCCATCTATCGAACTCATTAGACGTTTCAAATTTGCGAAAGGTCGAATGAAAATGTAATGGGTGTCCCCTCGTCGGATAGAGGGCGTCAGCAGCACCAAAGGTGGATAAAGTCAGAAAAGTTCGTTACGTATATATTTTTTTATTGAATAAGCACTAACGGTAACAAAAAAATTTCCAACGGAACGGTCAAAACGAAATTTTTTATTGTACCATTAGAACGTAAAAAGATGGTGAGCGTATATACAGGGAGCTTCAAAATTAAATACAAAGATTTTAAGGGCGTAGCTGTTTTCAATTTAATTTATTAATTATGTATTACATATTTTTGGAAAGGACATAAAAAAAACAAAAATATGGTTGGAATATAAAAATTTGTAAGTTTCAGAAGAAAACCTCAGGATCCTACGAAAAAAACCCAAGTACAAACTTAAAAGGGTGTCTAAAAATGTAACATTTTTAAAATAACCTTTTATCAAAAAATGTAAAACAGCTGTGTGGGCCTCCTTTTATTTTATAAAAAAGTAGGCTTCCGCTATGAACGCCGCAACACGCTAGCATTATTAATAAGGGAGATACGCCTTAAAACCGTAAAAAATGGGATATAATGTACATATACTAATTTTTAAGAAATTGGAAATTAGGTCACTTCCTTGTCTGTATATTTATTATCAGTTATTAGAAATACACAAAAATATAGACAGCTTCAGTCAGAACTCCTCTTACCATGACTATTTAACTAGAAATAACAAGCTACTTCGTGCTTCAAGATTCAAATATAAAAAAAGTCTAAAAAATTCACTAAACTTAAACTTGTACAATAAACCACCAGCTAACGTGAAAGTTCTAAGTATAGAAAATTAAAAAAAAAAAAACATCTTAACCTTTCTTAAAAGGCACTGCTTTTACTCGGTCGGGGAATACATGGGTACTCCCGCTGTGACTGAAGTCAAAGAAGCGTCTGTGAACGGTGTGACTGTGCAATGACTTTCTATAATTTTGTTGATGTTGCTTCCTTTTGTTTATTTATATAAACGTCCTGTACTTTGTTCTTATGTATTATACACTGTTTTATATCATTTACACACTTTTTATATAATTTATTCATTGTCTTGTTTTTTATATCCATATTTTTTTTAAGTATTGTATTTATGACTTGCCATAATTGTAAGAACAAAACGTGGTCAATAAATTCTATTCTATTCTATTCTATTCTATACAGAAAAAAATGTCTACTTCTATTCAATTCTATACAGAAAAAAATGTCTACTAACTTCACATTTTATTTTTGATTTACCTTAATATTTTTAAAAACGAAAAGTTAAATCATTGAAAATGTTATCGATATAAATTCAGTGCATGGTACAAAATGGTTATTTCACCACATAGCGCTTCCACAAAGAGAATCAAATCAGAATTAATCAGATTAGATCTGCCCCAGCGAGGTATTAACATGTCACATTTCCCTTTGTTTCGAATTGCGTAATATAAATGCGAGCATCTTTGCTTTTAATTGGTTTTAAATTATCACTGCGATGTTGCCTACACCGCGCGATGGTAATTATTTTGATTTGATTTGACGGATCTTTTATTAATTACCGTGTTCCATAGATATGTACAGCTGTCTACTTTTTTTGTTGATATTATATGGAATTATTTCAGACAGGCTAAAAAATAAGAAGTGTAATAAGAAATAGTTTAAAACAATTTCTTATTACACTTATCTCTATTAGTATTCATGTATACGATTAAAAAAATAATCCCCATTGCCACCTGCCTCTCTTTAACTCAAATTTGCGTGCTTATATATGTGATAATCTGAAAAAAAATCCTTTCCTACGTTATGGTTCCCGAAAATAAAAGCGAAAATATTGGAAATTTTTTTTATTGAATAAATACGGTAGGTACATTTATATACAGCGGTGCTACAAATATAGCACTGTCGGCAGTCCAATCATCAGTTCCTTTTAACGTGGCAGTCGTCGTCAGTCAACATCTCAATAATTATTAACTAATCATAGAATACATTTTACTTATAAAGCTCGGTATATACATAGCATACAATATGTGAGCGGCGGGTCAATTCGTCACATACTCATTTAAAAACTGACAAAATGTCGATATCAATGGAGAACGCAATTTTGTACTCTAACTCATCCTAGGTAAAATAAACTAAAAAAAACGTATCACATCATAACGTTATATGAGCTCAGCTCTTAAACATATATTTTGAAACGCTAAAATTACTTCGATAAATACTACACTGAGACTAGCTTGGAACAGTTTTCCTAAGAATATATTAAAATGCATCCCGCAATCTTGTCAGGCCTTAATGAGCAGACAAATATCAAAACCCTTGATATATCGTCTGACAGTGTCCGAAAGCAAGTCGCAATTAATACGGTCCACCGTTGCCGTTACTCCCATTACCGTTGCCGTTACTCCCATTACCGTTGCCGTTGCTGTAGCCGTTACCGTTACCATTACCGTTGCCGTTACTGTAGCCGTTACCGTTACCATTACCGTTGCCGTTACTGTATCCGTTTCCATTACCGTTGCCATTATAACTGTATCCGTTTCCGTTGGCCGCAGGATATCCGTTGCCGTTGCCATTGCCATTGCCATTTCCATTTCCATTAGCTTCGCCTATTAAAAACATCCCAATTAACATTTTTTTGTTATATAATGATGGCAACTGTTACGTTTCGGTTACCTGTTTCACAAGATCACAATGCAATATTGTTCATATAGACATTTTTTTACCTTCGTATCTAACTTCAGGCTTGTATCCCTCATCTCCCACTACTTCGTACGTTACAATTTGAGTTCTGCCATCGGGCAGGAGTACGTTATATTCTCCCGAAGTATAATCTCCGTCCCTTTGCTCCTTGTGACCGAATTCATTACCGGATGCCGGATCGCTGACTTGGTATTCAAATTCGTATTGAGCCGGACCCTAAAATTAACCCCGGTTAACTCTAGCCTTCTCGTAAGAATACCATCAAGTTTGTACTTCTTCTTCCCCGTTGCCGTTGCCGTTTCCATTGCCACCGTAACCACCGTTGACGTAACCGTTGCCGTTTCCATTGCCGTTACCGTTGGCGGGGGGTCCGTATACTGGTTTGCCATTGCCGTTGCCGTTACCGTTGCCGTTGGGTGGGAGGTAAAGGCCGTTTCCGTTACCATTTCCATTACCGTTGCCGTTGCCATTGCCGTTGGGTGGCAGGTAAACTCCATTTCCGTTGCCGTTACCGTTGCCGTTCTTTGGCACACCGTAGGTTGAACTGGGTCTGCCGTTACCGTTACCGTTTCTAGGGGGTCCGTAAGCAACCGGAGGGCGACCATTTCCTATCGAAATCGCTATTATAGAAGTTATACAGCCGTCCCAATATTTGTTCAATATGCTTTTAGCAAATGCCAGATAAAATTTATATCAAAAATGTTTCTGTGTTCTTTTTTTTGCTTTTTATTTGACAGTTGTCGTATCGTATAAACAAGGGACAAGAGAGTTGTCAGGAATTTAGAAAATAATATAAAAAAAAATATTCTCCGATGTTTAAAAGATGTGCAACAAATTTTATAAAAATCTTTAAACATTTCTAGAATTATTTCTTCGAACTTTAAAACACTGATGTAGAACATCAAGCTCCTGCGGTTCGATTATATAAATTTTTTTGACGAAACTCCCTGTGAAATGTCGGCAGTAATTCAAAGATTTTTTTTTCTAAATTCTTGTCTTTACATTTTTTCCAGTGAAGAGAAAATGAATACTCTACTAAAAGGTCAATCCGAATCAAGATTTAATTATTATTTCTTTTTATTATATTATTTATTGCTGCGCTATGAAAAAAAATTACCATGGTCGGTATTCCCAAAATAAGAATAAATTGAATTTAAAAAATATGCAGAGCGTTTAATTCAAAATAAGGAAGTTGACATGGACATAAAATATGGGAAAGAAATTAGCGTACATTTTTAAAAATTTTGTAAATAATTTATACCACTTGTAACACCTTGTACAACAATTATTACCTCACAGCATTCATTTTCTTTTACTTTGACATTATGTCAATATGATTCTTTTTGGAAAATAAATATCTAAATGGAAACAATGTACGCTTTATCTGTCTTTCTTCATTAATGCTAAATAATGCTTAAAAATATTTCTCAAGAGAGTGACACCACAGGATCCTATTAAATGTTCTGCAGAAGTAGCACATGTAGGTGTGTTCGACAAGCGTATCGCTGTCAGCTGATATTTTGTGGCGGATTATGATGCTACATTAAACTTGAAGTATCTTTTTTGGGAAAAAAATTAAACACTACCTAGTTTTTCCAATGAGACTGCTTTTAATGTTTTTTTGAAATTTGATATTAACCTACCATAAAAGCCCATATTTTTCTTAAAATGTTTACGCTTTGTATCTTAAAAATTAAGACCTTTACGGCACCCAATTAATAAACACCACAGGTATCGTAGACGTGGTTAAGCTTTACTGTACCGTTTCCGTTTCTTCCGTTGCCATTTCCGTTACCGTTCCTTGGAGGTCCGTAAACGACTGCAGTTATTCCATTTCCGTTTCCGTTGCCGTTGCCGTTGCCGTTACCATTACCATTGCCATTACCATTTCCATTAGGGGCACCGTAAACCCCGTTTGGTATTCCGTTTCCATTTCCATTTCCGTTTCCGGGGGGTAGGTAGCTAGTTCCTGGTCTCTGATCCCCGTTTACGTGGTAGCCATTGCCATTACCGTTACCATTACCATTGCCATTTCCATTACCATTTCCTGCCATTCCTAAATGTTAGATTAATATATTAGCGATTGAGAACGGGGTTGTTTACCATTTCCATTTAGAAGGGGTGAACCGTATACGGGTGGACCTCCATTGTAACCGTTACCGTTACCATTTGGGGGCAAGTACGCTGGCGGCTCGGTTTTAACTACAGCAGTCCATATTAACAGAAAACAGGGAATTATCTGTAATTCGTAAAAGGATTTTAGTAGCATTCGGAAGATGTGGCTTAAATTTTTAAATGGTCAGCGAATGCAAATGTTATGAAATAAAAAAAATTGTTTGCCATCATTACAACGTCGCAAAATTGTCGCAATTATTCAATTAATAGACATCCAGATCAAGGGCGGCCAGAGAAATGCGGCTTATCTCCTTTCGAGGCTTGAACAGTTAGATGCGCTACCATAAAAGCTTTAGACATTCTTTGTGGACTAGCGTCGCGTCCGTTTAGTTTTTTCAAAAAATTAAATTTAAGAAACATTTTTCAAAAACCAGGGGGAAGCTAGCCTACCGTTTTTATTTTTTTTTATAAATTATAAATTATAAAAACTTGGTATGTAACGACATAGGGCCCTTAGATACCAGGTCATTACACTTTAAGAAATTCTGTGAGATTCTGTCACACCAAAAAAAAAACAAACGAGATCGCTTTTAATATTATATTTGAATCCGATGAAAACTACTGAAATTGTTAAAAATATTAACCAATCAATAAACCATATTCCCTCAAACATTTTTTCAGGAATAATTTACAAAAAAAAACCTTATGTTTAGTATACTGTTAGTTTTTATATTATTGTAAATTTTGACTATTTTTGTTATAGACTATGGTTTTGATTGTTAATTTTTTCTACATTAAATAACAGCAAATAACCTTATTATTATTATTATTATTATTATGTAAATAAAGAAGTATCTGCATTCCAAAAATGTTTTAATATTTGCAAAATACTAACGATTTTGGACAGTAATAAAATTACCTTGTACATTGTATGTTGTTGAGCTTTAAACTTAGTATCACTCTTAACTAGCTATAGCAATAGGACAAACTAAATCATACGGCTTGTACTATATACACCGAAATACTACCAGACAATTAACTAGATCAGACGAATTGTCAACTTTGAATGAATGGAGTGGAGATGATCCCGGTATTTATACATATTCGATCGTGAATCGCGGCAGCGTATTTGGATCATTGATGGGACTGGTTTTCTTCATTTTTTTTATCACTTTGAGGGGGGCGAATCGTGATTATCCGCCTGATCTGGCACGGATTCAAATTTTACTTTCGCGCGATCAATGAATCCCGAATAGTTCGAAATGTGTGTTTGCAAGTACGTGTCGTATTTTATATTTTCTTTAATAGCTTTTTTTTCCATTTGTGCTGGTTTCTAGTTTGCTTCTTATTATTTAAGTTATGACACTGGTTTAATATTAAATTTTCTTCTAATACGTGGATGAACTGGACTTAAAAACCTTATACTGGATGTTGCAATTTCCACGGCAAATAAATTATTAGTTAGTAATTTTAATAGTGTTGTTATTTTATTTTATTTCATAAAATCGCTCTCAAAAAATTGTTATTTCGTTTTATTATTTCTACAACTTTTGATTTGGGTCATAAAAGTTACTGCTAACAAAATTTAAGTTCAACCATAATTATTCTCTGAGATAGATGATTGAAGAGATGGAAATTATCGAAAATGATGTATTAATTCGGCCAGTATTACTTACTAAAACCTCAAACTCCAAAATCGTTAAGTTTTTTGATTAAACAAAAATTAAAAGAAAAATACTCTGGGGGTATTTTTGGGGCACATGCTTAAACAATAGAAAATAGCAATTTGTGATGCCAGTAGCTTTAGAGTTAATCTTTCTATTCAGAATTAAAGGACAATAAAAAGTTTCATAGAAATACCGCAATTTAAACGAATTAAATTAAATTGACTTCAAATTTACAATATAATTAATTATCATGATTTTATTTCTTCATTAATTGTATTATATTAAAAATTATGATAATTCTTCGACTAGTTATATTTAATAATTAATTTCTATTAATTGATTCATTTATACTAATTATAACAAAACCAGTGCAAGAAGGCTATTGGCCACGTTTTGGGTAAAAATTTAATGAAAAATGTGTGGCTAGTGTTAAAAATGGTATCGGTACTTTTACTGAGATATAAACTAGTTTTATCTCTTGGAAAACTGTATTGCTACTTTTTACATCCAACTACAACTTCATCAGGCGTTTTATTGTTATAATCGGTTTTTTCTCGTAGATGCAACTCGCATTATATGGTATATGGGATTTGTTGGTACCGGTATGGTACGGTCAATGTCTCCGAACATGTCACGTCGCATTCTCGTCGAAATGTCAAAAATGCCCGATTAGGAAAACATTTAAAAATGCGCCTTCATTAGTTATACAATTATTCTCCAATTCGACATTCCTTGGCGAAGATATAGTTGTTTAATTTGAGTTATCTGGGGCACTTGTTTTAGGACGATCTTACGAAATATTTCCCTTATATTTTCTTTCCTATTATTAAGTTTATTTTCAAAAGAACTGGCAAAGAAAATCATGCATTAAAAATGTGCATCGTTGGGTACTACAAATCTAGATCTCAAGAGAAGGGCACGATCGAAAAGAACCATGGTAACGGAATAAAAGAGACATTTTAAAAAATCAACAAAATCGTCGCATTATGGGCATTCCTGTAATAAATGTTCTAGTAAATATGAATTTTTCTAAATTACGAAATTATACACCGATCGAGTGTGAGGAAAATGTCACTTTAAGGTGTCAGTTTCGTTACTTAGGGATACGAACCACGGGTTTGAGAGCACTTTTGAAAACAAAAATCTGCCATAAAAATCAAGTATAATATTTTACTCGAAAAAATGGCATCGTGTCTGAGATATATCAAATATGTGCTGAACATTTCAGAAAATTTATATTTTTTTAAATAAACCGACTTTTTTTTTTAAATAAACATTTTTTGAAATTTTCAGCACATATTTTAAAATAAAATATTATATTTGATTTTTATGGCAGATTTTTGTTTCCAAAAGTTGTTATGCTCCTAAACCCGTGGTTCGCATCCCTAAGTAACGAAACTGACACCTTAAAGTGACATTTTCCCCACACTCGATCGGTGTATAATTTCGTAATTCAGAAAAATTCATATTTACTATTTTAGTCAAAATCTGCCCTGATTTCGACGTAATTCACACTTTTCACATAAGTAAAACCGAAAAAAAAAGTTTATGAAAACAAACGCATTGCGCCGATGTCCAATAACAAATTCTAAATTAATTTTTCAAAGAAACTTCCATAGGCTACTTTAATACTTTTTACAAAACTTCTAGATTCCTCCTGCGTCGGTTTTTGTTGACTCGAACTTCCTAACGTTGCGCCATCCTGTTGGCTTCTTCAGAGCTTGGCTGAAACTGTTAAAGTTTTGACTCAGCAAAAACCGAAGCAGGAGGAGTTCAGAAGTTTTGTAAAAAAATCTAAATTATTTTGCGCATAAAAACAGTTCCTAATTATATCTCTAATTTCTCACAATTTGAAAGCAGTATATTTGAGTCGTGTATAGGGTTTTTACAAATAAAAAAAGCTTCCATCTTAGCATTACGGGCGACACTGTATATCGCATGAAATACGCGTCGCTCGCTCGTGAGGTTGTCGCGTTAGGCAATAAAGCATCCAGAGAAAGAGAAGAGCGCCTTTTTGAAAATAACGATACTAGAGCAAGGCTATACGCGGAGTAATGATTTTGTTTTAAGACATGTTAGCGATTATGCAGTTGAGTCACTTCACGTTAGTTGTCGTTGCGGAAGCCTTGCGAAATTGCTGAAAAGCGACACGTTCGTCGTGCGTTACGGAATTTCAATGGGACGCGGAAAGAAATGTAGATTAAAGGGCGGGCAAAGGAGCGTTGGTTCTTCTTGAAGACAAAAATACCGTCAGGATATCGATTGTGCCGTTACAAAAAAGATAGTCCGTTTTTTTTAAGATGGTTTAGAAACACTTTTATTCGATTTTCCATTCTCCATAATTCCTCAGATCTAGTGTTGTAAGTTAGCTTTTCTTAAAAATATGCAAATAAAGTACAAAAGTTTATTCCAAGCTGGTTAATGTTATTCCATTTTGTGAATAAATGTAATAAGGGTAGGGTGGGTCTGGGGTTCTAACATAACAAAATACAGATGTGCTAAATTATCAAATCTGGGCGTATTAAAGGCGATTTGGAAAGGAATGTTAAGGTCAACTGATAATGTATTTTTTTGTTAATTTCAAAGAAATATAAAAAATATTATTATCAATGTTTTTATTATTAATTAACATCTATAAAAAAGCTTTTTCCACTCGTTCTATTATATTACATTCTAAGTTCAGTCAATGTCGCAGCGGTTCCTGTAAAATGTTAAAAGTTTGTTTGCGCAAGGAAGTAGATGCTTTTTTGAAGCAAAGCTGGAAAAACAAAGTAAAGCTATAGCTATATCTTAGAGATTTGTTTGTTCTCTTACGTAAATTAATACTTTTATGAATCAAGCACCAAATAGGTATTAACGAGAAAATGTGGAAATGCGCACAAATAAAGCTACGAAAATAAAAACCGCCGCAAGAATAGGCACACCGTTTTGGATAAAAGTTTTTGTGAATTTTTTAGACTTAGTCCTTCCCTTTAACATTTTTTCCACTTTATTTCTAATGGGATTTATAAGAGATTATAACTTTCTTGTCATGGCACCATCAGTGTCGTACAACGTATTTTGTCGCAACTAACCAAAGCGAATGATTTTTTTCCAATTGAATATTGCAAAATTTGTCTCGCCTGTACCAGACGATTATTTTAAATCATAGCCATCAAATAAAACAATTAAATGGCGATTTACGGGTAGCGTGTCGTCAATGGGATTTATCTTCAAACGAAGACGCGGCAATCGATTGCCCAATGGCGGCCGATCGATTTTCAAATCGTTCAGATAATATCTTCTGAGAAGCTTAGATCGTTTTTCTTTTGATGTTCGCGTTTGATTGCGATGGGTTTGGCACCAAAATGTCGTAAGATTTGGGAATTTTTAACTACAACTACGACACCATTCAGCACTACATTTTCGTAATTTCATATTTTCAATTCGCTTTCAATTTTTCTTTTAATGAACGCTTGTTTGACAAACATCGTTTAATTGAATCATTATTCTTTGGTTACTTTTGTTAGAAATAAGTGACCATTTCTGAAGCAATATACAGTTTAAGATTAACTTTTTGACAAACCCTACGGATAGTATGCAACTTCTGCAAAAAAAAAATTGTGAATGAGAATAAACTAAAAAATGACATTTTTATATAATATTTCACGAGCGATGTCTTAAAGATTATATATTGAATTATTATACTTTCAGTTCTTGAGCTATATTATCGAAAAAAATGACTGTTTCAGCGACTTTTTTAAGAGATTCATAAAAAAAACCTTCTCATCAAAGTAATTCCTAAATATATTAACTTTTGAGATACAGGGTGGTAAAGAAAAAATATTTTTTTATATTATCTAGGAAATTATTTTTAGATATCTTAGTGCATTTGATGTATTAGGAGGTATTTCCAGGGGCACAACACTTTTTTTTTAGTTCTGCCAGTGGCGTCCCTCCGCTAGTAGACACTGACATTTTTTCAAGTGCATAAAATACGATTCTTGCGTTTTTCTTGTCACATTCATCGTGTTTGTTAAAAAAAATAAATTTAATTTAATAAATAACGACTTCACACAAACCGCTGAAATTTATTAGTGGTAAAATCCACTAATAAATTATTATAAAAATTGCCACATCTTGACAGAGATGGCGCGATCTATAAATAGCGACTGAAATATGTACAGTGCGAAAACGAATATAGTAAAGCGTAATAAACGCCCTATTTGCAAATTTATAATCATTAATTGATATTTAAAGTACTTGTTTGCGAGAAATCTCCCAATCCGGCAAACCTATCGCAAAAGTCATGTGACGAAATCTTACGATTTGCAAATGTGCAGAAATATGCGAAAGTTTTCGAATAAAGACCAATAGATCGAAACTTTATTTAATGGTGAAATGAAAAAAAAAACTTTAAAAAACGCTTTTCGCTGAGGTGTATATTTGATAGAACCATATTAGAATGTTTAATGTTAATATTACTGCTGCGTGGTATAAGTGCAGTTCGTTATTTCTCTTAAGATGTAAACTTTTACCTTAATTATAACGTTAGATATACTTTTTTACAGTTTTACAATATATAATTCATCTTTCATTCTCTCCTTCATATTTATTGATTCATAACAATTAAGCATAACAATTCATCATAACGATAATCCAGACCGATTAAAAATATATAAAGAAAATTCCAGAACTTACTGATCAAAAGGGGAATCAAGGTAATGGACATCACTTGCAATTGATTTTAGTTAGCTTCCAGACTTGATCAAGGACTTGCGACTACTCGAGATAGTTTATAGGCCAATTCTTGAGATGTTATAATATATTTCACTTCAGCAGGAATTACATTATACAATTTATTTTCGACATATAGAAATTATATAAGATTATAATTACCTTTTATCCATATTAATAGTTTACTTTATAGGCTAGGTGTTGAATACTTAATACCGTGTAGTATTTAAAATGCGAATACGAGGGATATTGCAAATCAAACATAACTCTTTTCTGAACAACTTCGATAAAGCCGTATAATAAAAGCGAGTGGACCAACACAAAGATAAAAAAAAGATTTTCCCTTATTGAAATAATTTGCCTCGTTTGCTTAAAACTGTATACCAGGGATCGGATTTTTGAAATTAGTGTTGTGAAAATGAATATCTCATTTTACGTGGCTGTCTTCTGTAGTTTTATATATCCTAATATATTAAGGTATTTTTTTATGTGTCAGGTCAATCCCAATATTTTTTATTTTGATAGTTGCTTAAATATCAATACGTTATATCTTATTAATATAGATATTCGGCAATTAGAACACACATTAATGTAACTTCAAGTGAACGCTGAATTTAGAGTAAATATTTGTTAAACAATTAGGTTATGGCACAAACATCTACCTTAATTTACCGTTCAACGTTATTCGAAATATCGGTTTCCACCATTACGACTATATCATCTGCCAATGATATAAGTGGTTTCCTACGTAATTCCATAACTAACAATTTCCTTGGAACTAGTAATGGCACATTCTAACAGATTGTTTTCTAGTATGCAGGTAGCCTTTGAATAGATTTGGTGCACGAGCCATGATACCAATTGATTTTAAATTTAACTTTGGTCAGATCAACAAAAATTTGCGCCCTGGGACTTACTCTATCCAGTTATAGGTCTTTCCAGATAAGCTGTAGTTTTACCAATTGAACTGATTGTTAGATAAGTTGTTAATGTAATAATCATTTAAGAAATCTGTAAAAATTAATACATTTGTAGAATTGGACATTTTTCAATGTTTTATAAAATTTTCGTTGAATGTGGGTTAAGCTATTTGGGATGCCGCTTTAATAAGAGAAGTACGTTTGTAAATTTCAGTTGGTAAAAGCGAATCCTTCCAAATCGGTACCTTCGTGCGGCGAAACTGCGAAATCCAAATCTCATAAAATTACCTAATTCTCCCATTTAAATAGTGTCAATTGCACCGCGACATTCAACCATCGCAATTAATGACTCATCAATTCATTCGGACCAATTACTTCTTTACTTTAAATGGCGAAAAACTGCAATTTTTATTCATCTGGCAGTTTGGGCACAATCGATCGGGATGTCATCAGTCGGTAACATCTCTAACGGTGCAGGTTGGTCCTGTTTAAAAGTTAATTGCAAAAAAAGGTTACGCAAAACGCTCTAAAATCCGAGGCCGCTTTTCAAGTTGCAGGCAAAGCTTTTCCTCTACATCTGTGACTGGGGGAAATAAATATCAACTGTGCGTTTGGAAGGAAATAATACGATTTTTTAAAAATATGAGATTTAATTTTGCAAATTTTGTTGCTCTGAGAAATCACTCGCCAATTACCATGCTTGTCAAGAAACTAATATTTTTCTTTATTAAGTAGTATTAAGTAGTAGAGGATATGGTATACTTTTAAAGAGAAAAAAACGAAACCAACGACAGGTGAATCATTAAATTGATGTCATATGCCAAACCCAACTTGTTTCTGCGTGTGACGTTTAATATTTATTTGCTGTCCTATGGCGCCATCGGAAAAAAAAGCATTACGGTCGAAATACTTAAAAGAGACAGTCTACGTTTCTCAAAATATTTCGAAAAGTCAAGTGTGCTATAGGGGATTTTAATGGTTTTATATGGGTTATTAATATATCGGCCCAATCCTTTGTTCACGTTTACGAGTTACCAATCATTATTTTATTGCATTTGAGTAAGATATTAATCTAGATATTGCTTGAAATTCTGCCTTGTAACGCTAACCACGCAGGCAGATTGTAGGTATTGTACGTTCCTTTGTTATGTACTGGTTATGACGTTATATGTGGTTTTGTTTTGTTGACATTAAGTTAAAAGACAGTTAGGGCTACTTTGTTTTCCTTTGTTAGAAAAAAGTGTGCATCACAATCACAAAAGCGTAGAAAAGAGTATTTGGAGTGGATCCAAACTGCAAAAAAAATATTTTGCACGATACATTCAATAATCAACCATCTAATGAAGTGTCGGGGAGACATCCTCTTAATCCAACATAACATAACTTAACTTAATTATCAGTGCTTAAAGGTCCCTTAGGGATGTTTTACCTGTTAAAGACTTAACATGGTAACAAATCACATCTTACACTTAGGGATTTAAAAAAAGTTTAAGCCTTAAACCTCGCGCAGCATCGTAGGGTCTACATCATCACCAAAGTGAATTTGTTTTTGAATAGTTTGCATTTTAAAAAAATTGAGAAGGGATTTTATAAAAAATTTGCTGCACGCAAGCCAGTTCGGACGTTGTCGGTCCATACGTGACTCAGTGAATGTATTCGTGCGTTTTTACAATGATGCACATAAAAATAGTGGTTGTAGAAAAGATATAGTTTTGGTTAGTTGATAAACTTCTTCAGTCACTCATTTATTAGACAGTTGCTCCGCTAGTGACAAATCAAATACTCGTGACTAAAGACTGTTTATCAAACTTGTTGCATCATATGGTATTGAACGAAAACAGTAATACAGTGAGCAATTAATTATATTTTTAGATTGTTAACCCAAAAATATTTACTTTTTTTAAACTAAAAGTGATGACACTGGCAACATCGCTTATGCTTTACAATTTATTAATGGAAACCTGATTTAGACTTAGGTAGCGTTGAACTTTAACCAAAACATTATTTATTACCATATGCGTACTCTTTATAAAAGAATAAGAGATGGAGTAAAAGACTTCCAAAATAAACGCTGCAAAAAGCCCACATTCTCTTCAATTTTTAACTTTATTTAATAAAGCAATTGGGACTTAATTTTCGTCTTAATAACCCACTCTGTTTCAGACTTGTAATTCACTTTATTCTAATATGACAAAATCACAAATTAGTATCAATTCCAATTATTTCAGTTGGAGTTTGAAGGTCGCTAGTTCATTGCGAAAAGAAAAAAGGTTTTAATTTTCCTTTTTTTTGCGATTGTACAGTGGGTAGGTGCGCAGATAACTCTTAACTTAAGTCACGTTAAACACAAATCGTACGTTTCAGTTACAGTTAAGCTGTGAAGAAGTCAACAGGATGGTTGACGAAACGTCAGCAAATTTGATTTATACGCAACCAACGCAGGAGGAATCAAGAAGATTAGTAAATAATATTACAGTAACCTTTGGAAGTTTCTTTGGAAAAGAACTAATAATACATCTCTCTGTAAAAGTTTATTAAATAAATATCAGACTTGTTTTTGAGATCAATCGGTTTCGTTTGTTTCAATTAGACAACGTTTAGCTTCTTCCTATCACGCTACGGATCCACGGAATATAACCCGACACCCGGGTGTATATTCCAGGCAAGTAAGGCCTGGCGCATCCTACTCCGGTCGAAACTACCCCTACAACCATCATTTGGTTGTCTGTAGTGGTTTCGACCATCAGCGGTCCGCCGCTGTCTGCCCAACACGCGTCTATACCACCCAGTTCGTGACCCGCGCAGATCTGGTTAGGTTGCACCTTGGTCTTCTTGCCCTGCGACTCGTACCAGCTCTTACACTTCTCTACGCCGATAACGTTCACTTTTGCCTTTTGCAGGGTTTTAGCGCGACCACCTTTGGAACTGTGCTCGTGAGTCCATCCCCATCCTGCGACCGTGGCCAGTAAGTTGTCGAGCTGCGAAGACCTCTCGGTAGGTAGGCAAGCGGGGATGACGCTATCAGACCACGTCACATGTCCATCCAACTCCAATATGGCAATGTCGTTCGAGGATCTGGAGCAGGAGTAATGGGGGTGTATGTTGAAGGATCTCACAGGACGTTCGTAAGCGTCGGTGCTCTTGTCCGAGAGATCGTGTTGCGAAAGTGTCACCCTCAAGGACGTGGGTTTGAAAAGATCATCCCCGATTCCCCTACAAAAAGTGTGCAGATAATAAAACTATAATCTTTGCTATGATGAAATGTCTGTGAAATCTGCACTGTGTGCCATAGAAATTGCAACGCCCAGTATACGATTAGCTATATTTATAACGTTTTGTCAATTGATTGCCTATTGATAAAGTTCTATAATTATTTTAAAGAATTAGCTTGCAGATATTCAGTTGTATTGCCTACGGAACGCCTTTTAGAAAAATTGCAAAAAGGGATGGCTGGATGAACAGCGATGCGATGTTGGGCTTTAAGAAGAATCAGTGATTGAGAAGAACGGACTCCTCCTACATCCTTAACTACCGCCGTTTCAGCATAACCAGCACAATCGGTCTGTTATGGTGTCAGGGACCGACTGAAAGACAAAGGTATGGAGAAAAGTGTGCCGATAATAAAACTATAGTCTTTGCTATGGTGAAATGTCTGGAAATCTGTACTGTGTATCGTAGAAATTGCAACGCCCAGTATACGCTTAGCTATTTTTATAACGTTTTGTCAGTTGATTGAATATTGATAAAGAAGTTTTAAAAATTTGATTTAATTTTACAAAAAAATGAAGTTCTATTATTAATATTTTAAAAAATTAGCTTAAAGATATTCAGTTTTATTGCCTACGGTAGACTGGAACGCCTTTTAGGGAAATCACAAAAAGAGGTATCTGGATGAACGCTACACCAGCGATGCGATGTTGGACGAATCAGTGATCGAGAAGAACGGACTCCTCCAACCTCCTTACCTACCTTTTCAGCATAACCAGCACAATTGGTCTGTTATAGTATCATGGACCGACCGAAAGACACAGATATGGAGAAAGGGGCAACTTTTTCATGGAGCATAGTGCAGGTCACCGTTGTAGTTACTAGAAATTTCCTTTGACAAATTAATATGACCCTCTTCCGATATTAAGGTCACCGGATTTTATATCTCATAGGGGATGTACAACCTCTGAGATAAAAAACCTACCACAGGCAGGCATCATACCACGGAAAGTTACAGTACGTCGAAACTTACATGCAAACGCAACTTATTATGAAATTCTTATCCTAACTAATTTCGAAAATAATAAAGAAATATATTTAGATTTACTGGGTATTCCAATTTCTACAAAGCACACTAAACTACCCAAGATGGGGGAAGTGCTTATTGGCGACAACTGCTTAGAATAACTGCAGTATAGTATAAGTGACCCAGAAACATCCTTCGCTTGCAGGTGACACCTATAACTACTTGACCTGAAAAATTTGGACATCAGTAAGACGAATTTAATCGCTATTCTAATCAGTAGGAATGCCATGAATCACTTAACACTTATTAGACAATAGAACGCTTTTAACTATACTATCTGACGTATACATTATCCGGTTATATGCATACTTATGGCGGCAATGACACAAAAACATGTCCTCAACCTTTACCCAGAGTCGGTTGAATTTAAAAATCACTTTTCGCCGTTTCCTTAACCGATGTGCTGATATGATATACAGGGAATACCTACGTGCATAAACAATGACCGGCAGTCATAACGTGTCTGTTGCTGATCAGCGTTCCGCCGCAAAAGTGACCCCCTCTTCTGGTGATCGACACCAACCACGGAAATTCGGCCTTTTCCGCGTTTTCGCCGCCTACGATTTTGCCGGAACGATTTCGAAGTTTTCTCTGGCCACATTTTACATCGGCAACTGGGCAAACAACACCTTTATGGTCAAGATGTGACAATAATAGAGTGTGTTTCCTAAGTGAATGTCGATAAAGCGGATTATTGCGGCTTTATTTCAAGAGAAAAAAAAAACGCCTATTTAATTTAAAATACACATCCAATATGTCAAATCACTTAGAAGGGAAATGATTTGTATAAGACTCGATGAAACGATATAATTATATAACATATTTTTTTAGTTACAGTTGCCTATTGTGTTTTATTAAATCAATATTTTCATGAATTCTACACATTAGGGAGGATCCACGAATAAAGACGTATTTGTCACTTTTTAAAATTATTCTGTTTTTTTGAATAGTTAATGCAGAGAGCGAATCAATTTTCTTCTGAGTTACAGGCTAATCCAACAATAACACATTTTTGATAGAGCCTGACAATCTAATGAAGTTTTCTTATCAATTTTCATACAAAACTTTTGCCTTCTGTGTGATATAAAATATTGTCTGTTGTTGCCCTTTTACTTATTTATTATCAGTAAATATATGTTAATAATAAATTATTTCAATAAATTGTTATAGCAGCGCACATGGGTGATAGTAAAACTGGACCTATATAAACGTTATAGAACAGAATTTTTGAAAAATTACCATAAAAGTTTTGCTGAAATGTTTTCATGAAAAGCTCGATTCTCGAATGATAAAATAAAATATGTTGCTTATATAGTTACGCTGTCACCTAATAAACAAATTGCGTCACAAAATGTACTTACAGTTACTAATCCCTTCGAGCGCAACCACCAAGGTCGACATGCACAACAAAAAGCTCCACATATCAGGCACGTTTCGAATTCACAGCGATCGATCAATCTAATTCGTGTTCTGTGCGATAGAGACTGATGAGAGCGCGAATTGTGAAATGTGAAAAAAAAAAGATTATATATCTATAGAAAATTCATGGCCGGTAACATATGGTAGGGACACCCTTGGCGAGGCGTCAATTGCCTTCAAGGGTGAGATATTCAAATTACCGGCATTTACATTTGTCAATAACGAAACGCAAGTTTACCGTTCGACCTTCTACGAAAGTCGAGGTCTTGCCGACGATCATGGTGAAAATTTGCAGTTTTTTATTTGTTCTCTCTCAATAACTTAGGTGGATTGTCACATTTTTTGCATTTGAAATAGTACGTATAGTGTTTAGGCAATAAATAGTTCCACATTTTTATTCAATCGGTGCTTTTTGTAAATGACCTTACAATTGTTTCTAAATTCAAAGTTCAAAAAAATGGACCTCGCCGCTGACAGATTATTTTCGACAGTTCATTTTGATCGTAGCATTTTTTCGGCAGTGTTTTCTAAAAATATGCTCAGATTTAGGTGCATCCAGATTCGCCGGATTTATATTAATTTTCGCATTTTTGCGCCCTCTATGTAATTCAACATAACTCTAACTCTAACCCTACCACTATAGTAGATTAAAGTAGAGTCTATTTTTTATAATTCGGGAATTTGTTTTCTTTGGTCTATAGTTCGCTCGTTCCTTGGTCCCACAATAGAAAAACAAACTTTTATATTGAATTATGAGCATTTAATTCGTAATCGTAACAATATACAATATGAAGATGAACATACATACAATTTTTTTATTGACTGGACATGTTAACAGTTTTTTACACTGAGCATTCATTCTTTATTACTTGTCAATATAACAATTAGAACGAGCGGCTTCGAAAAGAAACCCGTATAAACCGACGAAAACCTTCCTTTTCAAATTTGACCGCAAAAAAATATTTGTCGGCCGACGCGTCTTCCCTTTACAGCCGAGCCCTTATTTCATTTAATATCTTAGACACCGTAATATAACTTTATATCGTAATGAAATATTTACAATAATCTGTTAACGTTTTAAAATTATGTAAATGTTTTAACAAATTCACTTTCTGTTTCGGGGGTTTCGTTTGTCTTTTTTTGGATTTGGGGCAGGTTTCGCAAACCCGTGTCCAAATCAGTCAGTCTCGCCAGGAAACGAAGGTATTGAGTATTAGCTAAAACCTATTTACAATGTTTTTTTGGCAGATTGTTAATAATCTTAAAGGCACTTTTTACATCTGATTACAGTTATAACAAAGTTTTCATAATCGTACATTTGGCAAAAATGGAAGGTATAGTTTCACATACTCATTATAATTGATGTTACAGTATGTACATTTCAAGTCGGATAAGCTCGAACCAAAGTATTATGATTGCGATTGTTCTAACGACTATTTGGCACTAGTACTACCGGATGTATGACGTAAGATAACCATATAGGTTCTAGTTGTAATAATAGTACCCTATTTTCCCGATTCAACCAAAAATAATACGAACAAAACAATATATACTTACCAACTGATAGAACTGAACCATAAATAAATTACAAAGCAAAAGAAATAAAATAAAACATTTATTCTTAATATAAAACAGCAGTACATGTACAAAATAAACAAGATCCTAAACGAAAATAAGTACTTTTGAACTTAACTTATTGGGACAGAACGTAAAAAGCAATCTGAACTGGGGATAAAAAAAAACGCGTTTCTACGAGGGACTTGAAATTAACTTTGGCTGTTCCATTGGACTAGTAAATCAACAATTTTAATTTTTAAAAACCCTTAAAACTAAAAAATTCAACGCTGAGTTCGTAATGTATGTACAAAACTTTTATATACAAGAACAAATTAGGCAGTTAAATTAACTTATTTTGTTTAACGACGTACCATCGGTTACTATCTAGTGATCACATTCTTAGATAATTTAGTATCGTTTATACAGATTATCCTATATATCAGAAAATTAGTCGTCACGGCCATACAAAACGGCCATTAAATGAAACACATACTGGGTAAGATAAGCTTTAAAACGTCCACGTTGCTTTCACCCGGAGTTCCGCCCGGAAAATAAATCAACAAATTCGAAAAGTCTAGGTTATAGGCAAGCGTCACCATTGGTGAAAACATGACTCACATTTTGGGTTCGTACACACCAGGCTCGTTTTGCTCAACAGCTCAGCGCAATAATCTAGCACTTTAGCATCAGGGCCGGATCCAGTGCTGCACATTCAAAGAAAATTCATTTCATAAATACTGGGTGCTAATAAAATATTTTGCCAATTTCTAGGACAAATATAATTGATAGAAAAATCAGGTTATCGTTTTTTTTAAAAAAACGAATTAAGTTTAACTCTTACTTAGCAATCTTAAGCCGCGAATCTAAAGTAGTAACGTCTTTATCGACGCCCCGGTACAAAATATTAGAATTTTTGTCATCAGTAACGTTTATGACTGAATCAACAGTATTTGCGGTTTACGTTTGATTTAGGTGTCTGTATAAACAAATATTCCTCAAAAAGTGCGTGTGGATAATACTTAACCCTGACTTTTTAACACTGATCCAGGTAACGTGAAGGTTTGGTTACTTCCACGACCACCGATAGTCGAGCTAATATTTATATTTTACGAATGCCAAAATGCGAGGCGCATAGATTCCGCAACAGTAAAAATCACATTCATATAACACAAATTGAGCCACAAATATCGAGTCCGAATACTTATTATATTTTTTTACAAAACATACAAGATATCGTCCGGATCTCACACCAGGTGACCTTCCTGTTCGTTAACACCGTAACCGTTACCGAAACTGGTCAGTTCCCTCTTTTGCGCCAACGTCTGCGCCTGTAGGATTTGAACGTTTTGGTTCGTGTTGTGCAACACGTCCGGTGGGGGCACGTGCGCCCTCTGGTGGCGCAAGAGCGACCCGTTCGATGGCAGCGGGGGCGTCGCGGGGGTGACGGTGTGGGTTATATGCGGGTGGGCCGGTATAGGCGGCGGGCTTTGAAAGTCTAAGGGCGGAGGGTACGACAGGTAACGGTCCGATACGTTGTAGTAACTACCATCTGTTGGCGGGGTAGGGGTGGGTGCGCTCACGTAAGACGATTTGGCTGAAATAAACCATTGAGGCGAATTTAACCTTAAAGCATTACCGAGTTCAAAAAGTCGTTTTGCAGTCACAATGACCTTGCTCAGCAGTACACAACCGTTTGGTGATGCGTCAGCAATACCGGCTTATTTCGAAATGTGATGCCTTTACTCAGCCAGAATTCTTATTTTGGTTATGGTGGAATGTGGCAACTGTGCTAGATTTAGATATATGTTGTCTGACAAGATTTTCACAAATATGAGGTCCTACTAAATTATTAAATGTGTGAAGTAAAAAAATGGCAATTTCCTCTGAAAAAAAAAAACTACCCTCGAAAACGAGGAACTTTTGTAACGATACTCAACGTGCCGTTCAGCTGATCCCCTTCTGTTGAGAAACAACAAAGTTATCTGTTAAGTGATTATTTAAAACAGTTGTGCAGGGCTGAACAATCCCAGGAACCTAACCTAACGTCGAAAAAGTACGACAAATCTTCAACCAGTTCTACTGAACCCCTGTTTTGGCATGAGGTAGATAGGTGTAGCGGATGTTGTCCTGCTCTATGTTACGCATCTTTTTGGGAATATATAAACTACAGTTGCAACCGTTTAGGACGGTTAATTTGTAACATTTAATAGCGAATTTCAAAGCGTACTGAATGTATTATTATACTTTATTGGCTAGTATCTGAAAGCGCCATTTGTACATGTTTTCAGGTTTATGCCTGTGATAACACACCGGGTTAGTTTTTTTGAATATGCTAATTATTATCAAATAACAAGTTGGGCATGCAATTGACCATTAAAACTTCGATTAAAACACAAAACTGGACATGTGAAATGTGTTAATTTTTTTTGTTCACTTAAAAAGACGCCATTAAACGAACATCTTTCTGCCCATTAACGGCGTATTATAGAAACTATATTACGTGCATTGAACGTACTTAAATTGAGTATTTTTAAGACAGAAACAACAAATTACCTTTATAAATTTGTTGGGCTATAAAAAACACCAAAAAGATCCAAACAGGCCAAAATTGAAAAAAAAACAATTAAACAAAAAATAAGATTCAAAAAGAAAAAAACGGGGACAAACAAAAATTATGAAGAAACCGTTAAAGCAGACAAAATTAACAACAAACTTGACTTCGCACTTGTACAAAATATTTTTTTCTTTTTTGAATAAAAGAATTTTTCATTTAGAAGTAGTTCTGATTTAAGTAAAAAGTTATGGTATTTGAATTAGGCTACCAAAAGAACCAAACTGATAAAATAGAATAAATAAATAAATATATACGTAACAAACTTGTTCAGATTCTAAATATGAAATTTGCTTAAATATGCCGTTAATAGAGGATTTCATTTACGTAGAAAACAATTACGTTAATTATTAGTTATTGTCAAATACTTTAAGCAAAAGGTGCAGGTTAAAATATGACGCGTTACGAAACAGCCGCGATATTAGTCAAACCAACGTCCTTTTGGAAAAAATATCATCTTCACTTCATTAAGCATCCAGATTTTCCAGGCGTTAAGAAAATACGAGCAAACACACCTGACATGCCCGTGCTCTGGCTGTGATAGCCCAAACTCTGATCATCCCTGGCCCTCGGTCTCTGGTCATGCATATGATGGTGATGGTGGTGGGGATGGGGCAACGTGTGAGTCTTGTGGGCCATAGAAACCGGTCCCATTTGCATCTCGTATACTGGATACGCACCTGGGGGATAATCAACTGGCGGGGGTTGCTCGATTAAGTACGAGTTCGCCACGGTCTTGCTGCGACTGTCGTCCTGCTTAAACGAAATAAAAAAAAAAACGATTACGCCACCGTTTGAAAGCAAAACGCGCGGGAAATCTCACCACGTAGTCATTGTTGCTGCCCTCATTACTGTACGTCTCGCTTTTCTCGCTAACCGACGACAGGGTCTCGCCCGTCATCGTATCGTTGTAGCTGCTCGGGGCGTACATCTCTATTGTTGCGGATTTGCTTGTTTGGTTATTTTGTTCTGTCGGGGAAAAGAACGCGATGCAGATAATGTAGCGGCGAACACAGTCAATTAAAAGTTTTCGTTTGTGGAAGCGTATTTTGTAGAGGCGGCATCCAACTTGTACTTTTAAAAATATATATATTATACTGCCATTTATATGCTTTCAGTGGAGTTGATATCTACACAATCTTTGACAAAATAGAGGTTTAAAAAAAAAAAAAACTTCGTCGCGTTATCATAAAATGATTAAAAATGTTCAATGAGCTGGCAGTCGAACCACCAGCCGAACGGTTTCATATTTATCCTACGACTTCAAAATATTTTTTTTGACAAGCAAATCTTTTTTCTAAAATTTTCTTCCTATACAATTTAATAGTCGCAGTGTAACTCCTTTTGCTGCTTACGTACGAGGGATGTTCCCAAAATTCAACTATCTAGTGCAATATTGTTCAGTCTTATTTCGGTCTGCGGCTGATACAGCGTCCGCAAGGAGTATTTGGTAAGTCTGCAGTCCGTTTATCGGGGGATCGCAGAGCTTTGGAAACATCCCTCCTAATTCTGAACTCTCAAAGTTCGCGTTTCGTGCAAAGCTTTACCATCGGTCATAAACCAGCAATAAAACAAGTTTCGTATTAGCCATTTGAGAAATATTTTTTTAAGCACCGAGGTATTTTTCGGGTAGAATTGTTATTCAAAACTAATGACTTCCGTAACAGGAGCGGGTGTCGGGCCAGCAATGATGTTTTAAAATTTTAACGGGCGTAATAATTTGGGGTCCTTTTGTTCGATTTTGATTGTTTGATCGCGCCGACAGGTCCGACCATAAACAAAGCGGAATTAGCGTTGGTTTTCTCGATTGTGGGCCGAACGAATTTCCATATTATTGTTAATAAAATGTTTATTCGGAAAATTCGTTTATAAGCGCTGCCGGTCACGTATTGTGTATACGCCGATAAAATTTCGCTAATCGCCAAAAATCCTAAAAATATTGTTGCGGGCTTTATTAATAGAGGGTCGAATGCAAACAGGTCCGGCAGCCAGAGGTTTTCTTAATAATGATGGCGATAACGATTCACGATAATATTACAATACTGATTGTATTTTTCAACTAAAATTATTGCGATTGCGTTAATTCTACGATCCAAGGGTTTTTTCTAAGACCTTTGTAGACTTGTTTCTAATTAAATTAAAAAATAACCGTGGAAAGCAAGGTAGGGAAAAGCGATAACGGTCTAACGGTCTTAATTCTCATGCGATGAACAAATACATACTGGGCGTTCCGTTTGAAAAACATGAGACGAATTGGTTTTAAATTTTAAAACGAAAAAAATCGAGTAGGCCTTCCTGGACTTTTTTCTAGTCAGCGAACACAAATTTTTCTAGTTATTTGATTTATTTCTTTTAAAATAAAACATTTTTTACAAACGAAGTTTTTGATTATATTTCTTGTTCTTGTTTCAAAATAATACGTCTATTTCAGTTTCCAGAGCTTAAATGACAATTTTGATCCGGTCTTTTGATGGTTTATCAAACTCTAAAAATAAGTATGTACACCTCTTTGATGTATAAATGTAGAGGTTACCTTTTATAAAACCTCTAGATTCCTCCTGCGTCGGTTTTTGTTGACTCGAACTAGCTAAACTGGCTCGCATTTTACTCTGTACCTGCTTTTATATTGTTTCAGGGGGGCGGAGCTAAATGAGGGGCATAAACCCCATCTCGGATGACTGATTCCCATATTGGTAATCAGCAGTTGCCAAACACATTCACGAAACCGGACATCAATTTTTTTTTTTGATAAAACTAAAATTCTTGCATTTAATCAAATCTCCTACCAACGAAAAATCCGAGAGTCTATAGAAATCTATAAGCAACTTAACAATCTTAATCGCGACTCAGGTCTCTACCTGTCACCAATATGGGAATCAATCATCTGAGACGGTGTTTATGCCCCTCATTTAGGTCCGCCTCCCTCAAACAATATATAAGCAGGTAGTGGGTAAAGTGTGAGTCAGTTTCAGTTGAGCTCTGAAGAAGCCAACAGGATGACAACCGACAGGGGAAGTTTCTTTGAAAAAAAAATGTAGAGGTTATTGCTTTTTTTTCGTTGCTAAGACCTGCTTAGAAAAGACGGATTACTTTTTCTCGCCTGAAAAAATCTCAGTGCACGATTTTGTCGCTGTTGTATTTTATTGTTGACTAGGGTGATCGAAACAAAATAAAAATCCAGAAACTGCAGGAGATAACACACGTGATTAAATGTCGATTAATCCAAACTTACCTTATACAAAAATATTGTTCGGTTACGATAGATTCAGGGTATAAAGGTTACTTTACAAAAATCAGAAATTCCCTATAATTACCTACTATGTTATTATTACCAGTAGCACCATGAAATTTTACGTCCAGGTTTTTGATGAGAAAGTAGATAGATAGATTCAATTTCACGGACATGTATTTTTTATGTGTAAAAATGGAACAAACTGTTAACGAAATATTTTCTTCAATTTGAGTTCTAATTTTTAATCATGTTAATAGAATAGTGCACCTTAAAAGACTGGGTTCGGCGATAGGGCTTCAGTTTTTTTTTTAATCAAGAAAGGAAGTGAATTTTCCTTGGATGCGCTGAAGTCCAGACCTAAACCCACTGGATTTTTCAATGAATTAATATTAATTAATAATCCACCACATGTTCCGATTGCAAAACTTGATAAAGCCAATGTTGCATCTCATAAAATTATTTTATTTTTGGCATGTAAAAAACAACTTTGTATTTCGCAACATATTTGTATGAGGCAAGCTCGGCTTATGTATTTCGAGTTTCTCGATTTTTCTTTGGTTTTGGATCATCCTGTACTACACAAAATCAATAGGGCGTTGTCAACCCTCTTTATTTGTCCTTCAGGACCGTACTAGACTTGTGGCGTTGGGGTGGCCGAAAAAAAAAAACAAACCTCTGATCCTCTTAGCGCGGCGCTTAAACATGCATCCGGCGACGACGGCGATATTGATCAACAACAAAATAACTCCTATAACGGAAACGCTAATTATAACGATCCTGGGCAGGTCCTGTTTCTCGAGCAAATCATCAGGGATCACCTTCTCGACGTGGTCGACCTCGTAAACTGTAGAGAAACAGAAAGGAAAAATGCGGCAATCCATTAATTTACCTGCGACACGTTTCTTCGATCTCCTATGCAAGCAGCAACCGATAAGGAGAACGTTCGTGAGTATTAGGAGGGATCCTACTACCGTGCCGATGATTATCAGGAAGCCGGGGAAGCTTTTCAAGTTTCTTTCGTCCGAACTCGGCGAGGAATATGAAGGAGGCACTTTGTCTGTTGTTAGTCGGTTAGTGGGAGGGAGGCGAGCGTGCAAAAGTTTAGGTTTGGTTAGTTTAGAATTTAGAAAGTTCGCCGAATTGGCGAGCTGCATGCGCCCGCACCGATCGACTTTTATAACGCCAATGTAACCGAGATCTGGGATTTTTGCCAAGCAAATCAACATGGTTTTTTAATAAAAAAATTATAAAATCGCGAGTCATTGGTCTTCATTCAATGTTAAACAAAATGTCTGATCAGTATAACGAAATATCGTTGTTTCTTTAAAGATTATTTATTAGCTAAACTAACTAAAGCTAGGAAAACCTCTTGGCCGAGTGCAGCACGAACCACTATTTTAGTCCAGCAACAGCACGGATAATTACGACTTCAGACTACTAAAATACCTGTACTATAACCTAGTAGATGCCGTACAAACTGAAGACCACCAAACTCAAAAACTGCCTATTAAACGTGAAGTACGGCACCCACCCCTTAAAATGTACTCAGAAGAAATATTCAGGAAAGCAGTGCAATTCGAGTAGGAATTTCTTAAGAAAGTGACTTTTTTTCAACCAAGGATCCCAAAAATGTCGACATTACAGGGTGTTACATTTAAAATAAGAAAGTTGATGTGGGAGAGGGGCACTTTTGGGACACCCTGTATCAACAAAATTATAATATTTTTTAAAAAGTCACTTCCTTAAGAAATTCCTATTGGAATTTTGCCTAGTTTAGGCAGAAATTAAGGTTATGTGTTTGTGTATAAAAATATATATAATGTTTTAAATCTTCAGATTAGTCCAAGAAATTGTTGTGCGAAACTTTTTTTCGTATCTCCTATGGGCTTGCAGATCGTATAGTGGATCGTTTTATTTGGCACGCGGTGTACATCAACGGCCCATTTTGATTGGCGGAGAGAGGAATGAGAACGTAAGCTACTCTAAATATCTAATAGTTTGACTGAATACCGATGCGGACTCTGATCAAGACATAACAACATGAAATCGCTATTTCGATGCAAGGACTTTTTAACATGGAATCGATATTTGTCAATACTTCTCAGTAAAAAGGAATTGGCAAGCTATGTGTGGTCTATTCTCCTTTTCAGTTACAAGACACGGACGCTAAAAGCCGCAATGATCAATAAAGAAGAAAGAAGTATTTATATTACTTTTTACAAAACTTCTGGATTCCTCCTGCGTCGGTTTTTGCTGAGTCGAACTTGTAGAAAGTTTTGTAAAAATTAATACAGTAGTCTGTGGAAGTTTCTTTGAAAAATTAAGTATTTATATTTAATACATATTCAACATGAGGACGTCCTTGGAACAGCAATAGCTAAACACACGTCTAAGGGGAAAGCAGAAGAGGCATATATAAGAAATATAAGAAATTGAAAAACCTCTTCGTGCGGCAGCCGGTGAAGAAAGGTTCCAAGAGATCAGACACATGGTGATGATTGATGTCTGAAACTATTTAGGCAGCAAAAAGAAGAAGATATAGAAAAGCACTTCCCGGCTTTTTCAATTTAAATGCAAAGAAAAAGTTAATTTCATTATTACTCTCCCAAATCTCAGTTTCAGGCGGCTATGACAAGCCCAAGCACCTTAAGGAAATGTGTCTAGTACTTTCTAGTTACTTATAAATTTTTTTAGAGAATTCGCTATTACTTACTCGAAGTTTTCGCCGACAACAAATCGGGCAAGTATTTACTGTTGCCCAACTTGTTAGATGCCATGATGGAAAAAACGTATTTGGAGTTGGACTCCAGCCCCTTGATGACGTACGTCGTAACGTTGTGGGGCAGTACGTCGTCGTACTTGTACCCGTCTTCGTCGACCTAACCCAAATCGAACATCAAGCAATCTGGACCACATTCCAATCATTAATGTGAAAAATATATTTTCACCGCATCGAATTATTTTTATGCTAACTCTTCACTAATAAAATAAATGAAACTTTTATTTAGAGTAAATATATCATATTTGTTTTAAGGAAGAAATCTCATCGCCAAATCGAAATTTTGTAAAACTATCTTTTCTCCACTATAGACATCACAAATGAAAGCCAATCAATATAGTTTTTTCCTTCTATCCTTAACCCCGCCATAGTTTTTAGCAAATCACAAACTCACAGACTAGAATCAAATGCATCCTAACAACACTTTTGTATTTTTCTCCTAACTCATTCACTACTCACCTGTCTATACCTCAGCCTGTAAGAGGGTGTCATACCACCGTCAAAGCCGGGCGTCCAACTCAAGGTCACAGAATCGTGCGAGACGTTCGCAACGACCAAAGAAGAGGGCGGGTCCGGCGCCGATGTCACTTCCAACCTCGGCGATATCGTCGAAAAGCCGAGCTCGTTCCTGGCCAGGCACTCGTAGTTGCCGTAATCGGCCGAGGTCACGTGAGAAATGTAGAGCACAGATTCCGACATCAGTTGATCGATTTGTCGGTAGGTGGTGTAATATTTTCCGGTGGTGTTCGGACTGATCGGATTGCCGTTCCTCGCCCACGTGTACCTCGCTAACGGAGACGCCTGGCTCCGGCAAATCATTTTTCCGGTATCTCCAGCGTCGCTGGCGAACTTCAGCAGGGCGGGGTGCATGTCGATCTCTGGTTTGTCTGCAACGAACAGTTAACCTTCATTTACACTCTACCTAATAGGGGAGATGTTTTTTTACCACAAACAAGGCAAGATAACTAAATTTACCCAAAAAAAAAACAAATCGAAAGACTTACTTTGCGAGAATTAATCTTTTTGGCATATTTCAAGGAATGTTCGCCAAAAAAAAAAAATTAAAAGAAGACGACAGTAGTCGGCGGAGAAAGGATATATGAAGCGTTGAAAAGATAGACAAAGGGAAAAATATAATAGGGAACTTAAACAAAATTGTAATTTCAAAAATATTGCTAATAAAAGATCTACAGTTCACAAAAAAAAATCGTAGTTCTATGTAACATATAAAAGCTATTAAAAATTTTAAAATTTATTTAGTCTTTGAAACGCATTGTCAGTGGTTGCGACCGGTTATGACGTCAATGCGCTCGTTTGACTACGCGCCAGTCGGACGGTAGCATAGAGAGTGACGACGCGTTTGTCTTGGTGATTTTAATTTTAGTCTTGATCCTGTTATTTGGTTTTGTTATCTTGTGTGACGAAATAAAGTTTTAAAAATGACGGAAGCCGATTTTTTAATCGTGATATCTTACATATAAAACAACGAATGTTTTTCTTTTGCTGGGCTTCGCGGTGTTAAAATTAAAGGGTATGTTAATAAAAACAATAGCCACTAGTTTTAAACCAATACAATATTGTAACTAGCTTGGAGTTTTCTAGTTTGTAAAATTCAAATGGTATATCAAATGAAATATAAGTTGTTAAAAAAAAAAAACAAAAAACGCTTTTCTTAAACTAGTGGAAACCTAAATACTGATTTTAAAGTATATTGGCATTGATAAATTAAAGTGTTCCTTATTTTATATAAGTCAGGAAGCTTCGGAGACTGCAATAGGATGGGCGCAAATTTGAAGAGTTAAAGATGTGTGCACGGTTAAGGCTCAAATGGCACCTGAACGTAATGTTATCAAAAACGACGGGTTTTGTTTTCTGGTAGACGAATATAGTATATTATGCAACAATTGCGGTAAACGGCATTTGACTCAGGAGGGTTTAATATCTCCGAAAACATCCGATTGCTTCCAAACCCGTGCGGTAAAATCCCGGAAATGTCCGAAATGTGACGCTTTCCGCAGGCTAGATCCGTGTGTAATTAGTCATTTTACAGACGGGAGTAGAAAAAAGAGTTTGTCTGGCGTTTTTCGGGTTGTACTCAAACCCGATGGCACGATTTATATCGTTTTTATGTTGCTCTCATTATAATCACGTAAAGTAGACTAAACACAAATACAAACTGGCGTAGATTAAATACAAACATACTTTACACGAGCCAAAAATAGACGTAAATAATATAATGTTCGGCCTATAACCTGTGAAAAACAGCGAAAAGCGCAAAATAGCGGTATGACGTCACGATAATTCCCGCGCGTTTAGTGTAGTTTAAAAGGAATAGTCGGCTGTCATAAATAACTTGAATCATTTATCGCAACTTAAATTTTGTCGACGATACAGGAACTTATGAAACAACTATGAAAAACATTTTAAGGAGGGTCATTAATCATGCGCATGGGCGATATTTAATCGTTTTTAAACAATGACCTTGCGGCATTCAACAACCAACATGGCCGCTGACAGATCGCAAATAAATTTGGATGCGGCATGTCTACGGCAGTACTTTCTCAAAATAGCCTAGATCTCGTTAAGTGTTCTAGGAAAACGCGTGTGTGTGGAGGAAACAGCTGTTTAGAAAGAAAATGACTAAAAGCGAAGGTTAGTGGGTGAAGTGTAGACGCATGCGCAGAAAATCGTTCCCTTCACCAACAAAATTTCTATGTTTTCACGTATTGATTCACGGATGAAAATGTGGATAATATCTTTACATCATCTGGAGCAACTATCGTGTTCCTTCGCATTAACTAGATTTAGTATTTTGCTTCGACTTTAAAAACTTGCGCAATCTATTTGTTTGGTCCTTTGAACTTTGGTTTTCATTCTGGTTATGTTAATATTCATTTTAGTTTTCTCTTGGATACTTCTTTTTTTATTTTAAGCATTCTATACATTTTATTTAGTTTTGCAGGATTTGCTTATTTAACTAGATGTCCTTCAAGGTTACTGGCTATTTATTTATTTAATCCATTCATTCATTCATTAACTGAGCAATTGTTGTTGTGGATTTGTAAGTTTTTCCTTTAACGTTGAACAATCGAATGAATTCAGAGACATAAATCGAAAATCGAAAATATTAACATAAGCCATGCCATGCGGATATAAAAAACCCATATGAAAACAAAGCAACCATTCCAAATTTTACTTTCCAAGTAGGTTAAACGTTGTTTTTCGCAAGCGGTCTAATTGAATTGTAAAATCGCCAATACTCACGCTTCACGATGAGCATCACTTCTTTGACGGAAGAATTGCCGACGCCGTTGTTCGCGATGCATTGGAAGTTGCCCAAATCTTCTCTGGTCACCTGCGTTATCCGAAGGTACGATGTACCGTTTTTGTCGTACATGACGGACGTCCGTGCGTCGAAGTCAGGGAAGTCGTCCCGTTTCCAAGTGATGGTGTCGTCCGCCAGGGGGTTACCGTCGGCGGTACACGATAGAGTCGCGTCTTCTTTGGGGTTCGACACCACGGTCTCGCTGGTTTGGATTATTGATGCGGGATCTTTAAAGAACAACCTATTTAGTAATTTATTCTGCGCTTACTTTATTTAAATCGATATAACACCGAGGTAGCAAACTCCACAAGTAAAAAGTCGAACGCTCATTTAAACTTTAATTTCCCACGTAATCTGTTTAACCAGCCGTGCGCCGCTGACTTGATCGATCGGGACAGGTGGTAGTAAAGTAGATTACTCTCGAGTAGCTTAAAAACCCTAATAAAAATTGGTCGCCTTTACGAACAACATTTAGTAGTTCGAACCCGATAATTGAGAATATTAATAGTTTGCTATAGACACTAATGTTTAGTTAATAAATCAATTGGATAATAAAATTTTTGTAAAAGTTTTTCAATTATATTCTTTAAAGAGCTATTAGGAGGTTATGAACTTATATATTTTAGTCGGTAAAAATCCGACACAGCCCACGACCATCTAACACCGGGAGTCTTTTGGAAGATTTTCCCCTCGTCAGTCTATTGTTTTGTTTTGTATAAAGACGTTGTGATAAATCATTTTCTTTTTTAAAAGTATCTCGTGTCATCCTATATGTTTTTAACTAATTGTTTAATTTGAAAAAATTATTGATCAAAGTCACCCTTGGCTGTATTTCCACGGGTTCATTAATATTTTAAATTCATTAATATGTCACCAACAAGAGAATACCCCGTTACTGTCCTTTGATATATATATATATATATATATATATATATATATATATATATATATATATATATATATATATATATATATATATATATATATATATATATATATATATATATATATATATATATATATATATATATATATATATATATATATATATATATAACTATATAGGCCCTTTATATAGTTTGTATGTATGGGAATGTGTTGGGTGTAAAAAAAAATAAAGATAATTTTATGTTAACAAATCTATTACAATGATTTGCTTCAATCAATATCATTAATTCTGTACCATTAAAATTTCCTTCAGAAACTTTCGAATTTCGACCGCCGAAATTTACGTAAGTTAGGAACTGGGTCAGAACAGCCGGACATGTAATTTTAGGAGCACAATACGTTGTGTATTCAAGGATTTCAACGGTCTCTCCTATATGGTCCTCCGAGCCGGATATAAAGGAGCGACGACTAATCAAAAATGCTCCGATCTTAATCTCATACCTAAACCGATTGTGCAGAGAGTATTACTTACATTGAACAGTGATATTGACGGTAGCCACGCCGCTGCCCTGGGAATTTACAGCCTCACAATTATACGTGCCCGCGTCGTGCCTACTCAGCTTCGTAATATTCAATACCGGACCGTCCGACACGATCCTCTCTGAGCCGGTGGCCGAAGACATCTGCGTAATGGGCAGTCCGTCCTTAGTCCAGGTGTAAGCGATGTTTTCCGGATTCCCGTCGGCCTTCAAGTTAATGATCAACGGTTCGTTTTCGATTCCCGTCACGGAGTCTTCGTTATTTTTATCGAACACCGGCTTATCTGCGAAGAGAGGGAAAAGAAAAACTAACAAACTCGTTCCGCAATAATGGCCGACCACCTACATAAAACCTGCAGGGTTACGGAATCGTGAACGGCCCTCTGAAGAGCTTCGTTGTGGGCTTGACAAGTGTACACAACCCCGTTCATTTCTTCCGTGACGTTAATCTTCATTTCTATGGTGGAGACGGTGCCGCCGTGGAGGCCAGGTTTCGACGAGTTCTGGTAACCTTCGACCGGAATGCCTTCCCTCCACCAAGAGAGTTTGGCGGGAGGATTGCTTGAGCTCGAGTCGCAGATCAAGGTCGCTTCAACGTTCGGCTTCAATTCGGGTGGTTCTTGGCGGATTTTCAACGTCTCCGGCGGAACTGTGGAGGTCATAACTTATTAATATTCATATATATTAATATTAATATTCATATATATTAATATTAATATTCATATATATTAATATTAATATTCATAAATGAAAATTATAGATAGGTTCTGATCTAGGTGGAACATGTAAATTGTTTGACAACCAAGTTGGCGTAAAATACGATGTACGTCTAATGAGTCCTCAGAAAATCCAAGAAATTGCGATCTTAGTATTTTTGCTATTAAGTACCACTCCTAACTAGTGAGCTGTTAAAGTCTGAGCTCCATCACATAGTTAGTTGTTATTCACTAAAGTAAAAAACTATGATTTGTCTAAAAAAATAGATAAAGTCTACTTTGGAGCTGTGATTAAACACTTGTATTTGAAAGTTCACGGCACATTTGCTCCTGTGTTTGCAACTGTTGGGTCCGGAAAAGATGAATGCAGATACAAAATTTTGTAAAAGTGTTTATTCCCGAAATGACTGACAAAATCCACGATATGATTTGAAGTGAACCTGAATGCGAACGGGCTCCAAAGAAAGCGGCGACGGTAAAGTCGGCCGGTAATGTTACGGTTTGCGGGATTATCTACATTACTTCTGATATGAAATATCGATAACAGGAGAGTATTATTCGTCAATATTGGAAAGACTGAGCAAAGAAGTTATGGAAAAACGTGCCCATCTAAAAAAGAAAAAAAATCTGTTTCATCCAGACAGTACACAACTGCAGTTGTGACAGCCAAAATTATGGAACTAATACCAATACCAAATAAGTACCAATATTTACATCAGTGAGAAATGACTTAGGCCGGAATATAGACACTAAGAAATCTTACTCTTTATTTGAAAAATAAAATACCCAAAAAAATGTGTTTTTTTTTACTTCTATGTACTTATTATAGAACCGTAAACATATTTTATAGTTGCACACTATGCTTGGGTTTATTCAAATATAAGATACAGTTTGTTATGTTGGGATCATCCCTCACGTATCGAAAACAATTTCAATTTACAGGGACGATGATAAAATTATAAATAAATTAGATTGTCAAGTGACGTGAAGCGCAAATATGGTGAATTATATATTATAGCAGGCCCTTGTGTGAAATTGAACTGAAGTGACTTTTACTTGATGAAAATCCATGTATCAAAATAAATAAGAACTAAAAGTTCAGATTTTCACGAAATTATATATTTTAACATGACAATTGTTTCGACGACACCATGTCTTTATCAAATCTTTGATAAAGACACGATGTCATGTAGTCAAAATTTACGAAAACAAATTTATTATTAAAAAAATGGTAAAATATTAACACACAATAACGCGTTTTACCACAAACCGAAACTGAATTTTACGTACTCAACGCGCGTTTCGCCAACCAAGCTGGCATCTTCAGGAGAAGATTAAAACTTAGTTTTAATCTTCTCCTGAAGATGCCAACTTGGTTGGCGAAACGCACGTCGAGTACGTAAAATTGAGTTTCGGTTTGTGGTAAAACGCGTTATTCTTACGCATGATATAAAGCTATTATTATTATTCCGTAAAGCTGGTGGGTACTTACAGTGAACTCTCATAGTCAACGTCTCGAAAAGTGGTATTTCGGTGGCCGAATTGGCTGCCTCGCACCTGTACCTAGCTTCGTTATCTGTGACGTTGGTCAAGATGGTCACTTCGGCGGTCACAGACTTGTCGGTCGTTTTAACCGTAGAATGTATCTGCGGACATGTTAGTTAAGCGGCTGTCCCCATTATTCCGCACACTTACGGAATAATTTAAATAATTTTGGCCACAATAGAAAATTTGTTGGTACCCGTTTTGACTCCCCAAATTTTATCTGACTTATTGAAATAATTGTTCTTCATTCATGATGGACGGTTTCGTATTGACTGCAATATGTATTCCATTCTTCCTTGGGCGAAGAATTTTTAAAATTGAGAAAGATTCTTCAAATATATTATTGATGTCATGCACAATATTTTTTAGATTAATTGGAAATAGCATGTATATAATTTTGTCGTATACTTGTGCTAAATATGATTTATGCATGTTCTATAAAATTATTTTTTCTATTTATTCACTAATATAAAAAAGCGCAGATTCTAAAAGTGATGCGGATATATTCTATCGTAAGTAACCAGTTAAAACCTGTTGAGTTATGACGTCAGTTATACTGAAAAATCAACAACTAGGCAAAAAACTTATTCGGTTAAAAACTGCTGACTATTAAAAGCATATGTAAATACCTACGATTTGTCAAAATTGGTTTAAAAATAAATAAGTTGTACATTTTTTAACCATTATTAGCAGCTAATACTGATAATATTTAAATATTCTTCCAGCAGTGTCTCTAAAAATAGTCAATTCTTTAAGTATCATTTAACAATCCTAAGCCAACCCCCATTCACATTCAATGTCCAGTTCCAGTTCAAGTTTGTCTGTAGAAAAGCCTTAATTAAAACTTGAGATGTTACTCAGAGAAACAAAATATTTTCTAGACATATAATCATGGTGATTACGCAGGCGATATTGGTGGTGATGAGGTTTTCATAATCAAATATTAACTATATTAACTATAATTCGATGATAATTTAATTGCAATAATAACAGAGAAATATAAATGTTGTTAACTAACTAGAGGTAATCTTAAAAGGGGATAGAAATGCATTTATCCATCGAATTATTTTTTTTGAATAAAAAAAAATCTATTAATATAACCGCTTTTGCACAGGAAGAACGTTGACACACACGCATTTTTTTTAAAGCTTACTTCTAATTCTGGATATTTTTTTTCTATTTATGGCTAAAATTATTTAATTTCCTCCCATAGTCGATTCCAAAATCACCTTTTTATCATTTTTATACCACGTCAGCGTCGCCAAAGGATTACCTCCCGAGGAAGTGCAAGAAATCTTCTGAACCGTACCGGCTGGCACGTAAGTACCTTCCACGTAACCGTGGATGAAAGGCTGACTCGGCGGATCTAAAACGGCAACACCTTCGTGGAAAACCGATCACCAAACCCGATTCTTACAAAATTCTTACACAAAACATTGATGGTATGCGTGGAGACTACGTTTTCGGTGAGCTGCATGTTCAGACCGTGACATATCACTACAAGGCTTCTTCTATTGGGCTCCACTACGGCGGTTATGTTGGACGTGGTGATCCATCCGCCTTCCGGCGACACTATGGTCCGCGACGTGGCGTTTCGCACTTGTCTGCCCGCAACCATCCATTTTATTTCGGCCGGTGGGTTTGAATTGGCAGTGGTGCACGTTAAGGGCACCGGATCGCCTACCCTGGCTTCTGTCGGTCCGGATATGGTCACGTGGGCCGGAGAAACTGAAACCAATTTGATTTCGGATTAAATTTGATCACCAAATTCTTAAACGATGTTTTCTTCGACGCGAAAGACAATTTCGGGGCACGTTGTTGTTTAAACCATCGAAAATTTTAGACCACTTCAGAACTCGGAATCTTACAAAAAATATTCAACTTAAACACGGAAGCTCCAAGAGAAGCAATCAAGATTAATTTGTCACTAAAAAGGTAAGAGGAGATGAAATCAAAACACCTGTACAACATTGCATGCCGTCCTGACTCTGTGGGCTAAGAAGTGAACTCGATCTAAACTAGAATGGGTAATGGAGACCGCTAGTGATGAGGAATCTTTTCTTTAGCGTATATGCTAATATTTATAGCAGATAAGTGTAAAAAGGGATTGTTTTATGTTGCATTAGATGATCTGATTTTGTATAATAAATAAATAATAACACATCAATTCATTACTTAAATAAAATATATAAATATTATCATATAAATAAAGTATGTATTTCCATGTAGTAACAAAAAGTTTTAATTATGACATGATAAATATTTGTGCTTATTATTTAGAAATACATGTTTCGTAGTAGTAGTTTAGTAGTTTGTGACTAAAATGGCGCTTATCAAAACTATCTAAACGTTAGAAAAGACTTGCTGAATTATTTTGAATTTCTAAATATTTTATTTCTTTAATGATTTCAGCAACTATTCTATCGGTAAATACTTTTTTTAAACAACCAGAAAACTCATTCACTTATTTATATAAACGCGCAAGAGAAAAACAAATCATCACATTAAATTACTAGCCATCCTAGTGTGAAATCTGCCTCGCCTTTCTATGAGGCCGACACTGGCGTGATCGAGTTCAGAAGCGTACTTCGATATATATTCGGTAAGCTTTGGAGTTGTTCGTGTCGGTGCATGTTAACGAAATACTCTTCTTAGCGATGAGTAAAAGTGTGAAGGTGATTGTTTTCGCGATTCATATTGTTATCTATAAGCATCATACGGTATATAATGGATATTCGATTTGTAAATTATGGTACGCGTAGCCGAGCTTAAATTTCATTTATATTAGCATTTTAATGTAGAATTTTCAATTAATAATGTTTAACGTAGTCCGTGACATATTATATTTAATTATAAATTATAACGTTATTCTGACAAAACAAAATTATGCATATTAATAAATTCGTGTACGAATAATGCGGAAATTTTCTCATATTACGCTCTATGAAATTAACATACATATGGGTAATCCACATCAAAGTTATATCGGATTAGTTGCATTGATTTTGGGCTGGGCAAGCGGGCAGATTTCCAATCAAAATCGATAAAAAATTATTACATGGCGGAGAGAGCCCGGCAACCGAATAATTAAAGCCCCCCGGTTTTAAAATAAAAACCAAAGCCATATAAAATTAATTTTGTATTATTAACGATACGCAAATATTAATTTAATGGGTTCATGAGGGCCGATGCAGATTTATGTGAATTTCATATAAATAAACCGCGTTGATAAACCGCGGGCGGCGTTTTTTTGATAGAATTTTTTTTTCGCAGATCGCGAGGAAACAATTCGGTCGGGGCATATGCGGCGCGGACCGCCAAAATTATAATGAAAAAGACGTTAATTAATTTTAAATAAATGAAATTTTAGTAAAACAACAAGCGAATCGGTACGAAAAACGCAATTATTAAAATTGTATCGCGTTTAGATAAAAAACTACAATTCCGTTTGGAAACGGGGTGGAAATGCGATATCCCAGTGGTTTGCTGTCAAAATTTCATGAAAATACAACAAAAGGAGATAGAGTTCTCAAATTACATTTAGTTTATGAAATACATTGTGATCGGTAAAAAACAACTGAATCTATTTGACTTTGATAAAGAACAAAAACAAATTTATAATTACAGCACTAAAAAATCTGCATTTTAACCACCTTGTGTGTAGTTACATGTAGTGTATATCAGTAGTAATATAGTATATGTGCATATTAAGCCAACCCTAAACATTGACCGACTATATTCTAGTTACTACCTAACAATAATTTATAAAAAGTATAAAATTTGTATGTATTAGAGTAATTTGGAAGATTCGCAGATAAGCAGCATTTTTCAGCACCTGTGTCAGCACAAATATGAGAAATAGTTAACTGTAATATAATAATAATAATAATAATAATAATAATTAACCACTTTTATTTTAGATAATAGCATAACAAACATACAATACAGAGACCAGTTAGTTGTACCGTCGACTGGCCCGGTCTAGCTTAGAATTAGCTACTCTACTGAGCCGTGCTGAGCCCAGCTACCATTTTTTTTACAATTTAAATTTGCCAGGTTATTAGGTATTGATTTTACGGCGTTAAGTAGTCTTCAACGAGACTCCATCTTAAGTCACCCAATCTGTTTATAAAAAATAAAAATATGATCATATTTTTCATTATCTAAACAAAAACTTATCTTTTGACATCAAATTTGTCTATTACTGTATAATACTTTTAATGCCTTATATGCTTTTGAAATGTTCTTTACATCTTAGCTCGTTATCTAAACAAATACGCACTGTGCATTAAAACAATAATAAATTTGTGTATCGTCGGCAAACGGTTGAATTTTACAGAAATTAATGAATGTCCGAAGCGTATACAATAAATAACAGAGGACCTAAAATGTACCCCTATGGCACCCCCAGAGTATTTGCGCCTTTCTATTATTCTGATATGATGACATATGAGTAAAAGATTCACTAGAAAATCCATTTAGCATCGATATTAGAAGTTGATGCCTGATTGTATCGAACGCCTTCGAGAAATCTAACAGTACAAGAAAAATTTCATCCAATACATTAAGCACTGCTACTTGGGTTCCAGACTTCTTTTTAAAAATCGACATTGCGTATATTTGATTATAAAATATTCTGCAGTAATTTTTTGAATTTGCCGGAAGAATGCTTATCAAATTATAAGTTTTGAATCATTTAAAATATCAGGACATTTTTAATAATTCATCGGAAACAAGCAAAGTAGGCTCAAAATTCGGTGCAGTGCAAAGCGGAAAAAACTGTATACATTTTCAATTTGAACTAGGACTCGAACATTACCATAATCGACCGAATACATTTGGGGCGTAGTTCACTTGAATTTTCTAAAGCAAAAGAAATTGGGGTACACTGTAGTCCTTCTGTTCTGTGTACTGCTTCTGTAATATCCTATCTGCCAGAGAAATCGCAACACCCAGTATATTCACGAAGTGTAGTATACGAAGCATTTTTCTCTCAGTCTTTTTACAAATATGCATATTTTTATTAATTTCATAAAAAGTGAACTTGAACGAGGTAGGTCTAAGAGAGGCCGGGATATCCTTTCAGGAAATTGGGAACATGATTGTTCGGAATGCTGAAGCGATGTTGGGAAGAGTTCTATGTACATCGTTGCCACACACGTCGTAAGGTCACTGGTGTTTTAAAATGAACCAACAATGAGCAAGCTCCTAAGACTTGGAAACCGTTCCAGTCAAACCAAAAAGAAAGAGAGCTCTGGATTTTGGCGAAGTGTTTTATTTGTAGGCTCACGATGGTCGTAGAAGAGTCCGACAATAACCTGGCGAAACTTCAATTCTGCACAGAGCGTCAAACTGCGTTTATTAGGATCGTGGGGGTTCCCGGTGCTAAAGTAGTTGTAAGCAGGCAACCGTTAGTTTTTGTGCATAGAAATATGAACATATGAATTCTCCATCCTACATTAAAAATATGTTAATACCTGTTGCGTTTAGACTGTTGAGTTTAGCAATGGAAAGAGTCAATTTTTCAACAAGATAATGGCTGAAGTTATTAGAAACTTCCTCCGACAAGCTAATGTAACCCTTTTTCCGTAGCCTGCACAGTCAGCAGACTTATCGCTAAACATATTTGGGATATGATTGGTAGAAAGCTAAGTCTACGCCATGAAGTAAGATTATTTTAGAGAAAAAGGAATAGCAATTAACAATTTTCTTTACATGCGCCATAATTTTGAAATAATATGGAGGCTTCTTTTGGCAGCTTCTTGGAAAATTGGAAAAAAATTCTTCGACAAAACTTGAAACTTACACAGCACGGTCATGTCGATTTCGGCCTTCAATGGACTCTTCGACATGATGTTGCTCGCCTCGCACTTATACCTAGCTTTGTTGTCGCTGGCGTCCGCCGTGAAAGTATATACATTCTCCGACACCCTTCCTGCAGTCCTATACGCCATCCTGGAATCGAAAAAAATCGATCCCAATCTGCGTCAGCGAGGAATCGAGGCCAGTCAGGCCACCCTACTCACCTGATTTGTTCCCCGTTCTTATACCAGATGAGCTGAGCGGGCGGATTGCCGCCTCGGCTTCGGCACACCAACTCGACCGTCTGTCCCCTTTTGATAGTTTCCCCCTCGGTGTAACCCTCGATATAGGGCAACCCGGGTGGATACAGGACGCTTAGTTGTACTGTCGCCCTTATGGGGATATCTGACGAAAGGGCTTCGTGTCTAGCTTCGCAGGTGTACTCCGCGTAATCGTCTTCTGCGGTGGGTTTCAAGGAAATGCGCGAGTGTGTGTCGTACCGGGTGATGCGTTTGTCCCCGTTCTTCCCTGGGATTTCGATCACTTGATCCTCCCGGCTTGCTGCGGAGATAAAACCGAAGGGACGTGAAACTTTTTCATGTGCGAAACGCGGGATATAAAAGCGCTGAAATAACGGCGGAAAAGAATTTTTTCGCGGATCGCGGAAGCCATAGAAATTTGTATATACGGTTGGTTTGCTCAAAGTTTGCAGAATAATATACAGGGTGTTTCAAAAAACTCGCGTACACGCTGGACTGGCAATCATTATGTAATGGAAATGTTTAATACCAAGATACGGGCGTTAAATATTAAGAAAACGACTTTTTAGAAATATGTTTATAAGGATAAAGGATTGTTAATCTTGCTTCAAGTAGATTAACATTATGAATTCTAGTTCGATCCCGCGAGTTATTTTAATTATATAGTAATTAAACTTTTCAACAATGGTCGTTATTAACTTTGAATACGCCCCTACAAGTTTACTAGGGCCACGAATCTATTGAAGCCATTATTGCGGAAAGAAGCCAGCGGGTGGCCGAATGAAGGCAGGCACGGGCTCGTTGCTGATATCTACCAGGATTTTTCAAAACGATTTTTCACACTAATGCTCTTGAAAGCACTTGAGAACGTGAGTTCCTTACAGGGAGAAAATGGCAACGAGTACAGGTTTTGTTACTTTTACGGAATATTTTAACCACTGTTGTCAGGATCCGATTCGTACCTGTAGATGCGGTCGCTGAATTTCACACCTTGAACTATGGGTCGAGATTAAAGGAGTTGCATTTTTAATGATCTCATATATTGGTGATCAAAGTAAACAATTTTAATGATTCTTGAGTTGTTTTCGTATCTCGCCTCGTTCTCGAGTGACAAAAAAAATCATACAAATTTGACAAAAAAATGCGTTTATATAAACATTATTTTATCATTATGTTATTATATTTTAGTAGAGTCTCTGAAATACAACAAACTTTGCCTACAATCACACCAACAGTCGTAGAAAAAGTATAGTATACAACACGTTTGATAAACTTGGTAAAAATGCCGTTTACCGCACTTGTTGCATAAAATACTATTATTAGTTGCTGTCAAATAAAAGTAGTCAAGATGTCGGTGCCTGTTTCCAGCATTCAAGTGCTAACGTTTGTAATAATAAACCAGCATCTGGTCCAGAGGAGACACCGTGAACTAATATGATGACGCGTAAGAGATTGAGTTGAGCTGGGTTAAACCTCTAAAAGCTCGAGAAGAGTTAATTAATTTTAATTGTATTAAGTAAAAGTAATTTGAGTTATGGATTGGTGAGCAAAAATGACTCCAAAGGGGATTTCTTCTTTTTCTCTTAGGTTTACTACTTCATTTTTGGAATTTTAGTTCTATACTTAACCCTAAAGAAAATGATCAAAATGACCACCATCAACTTCATTGCAGGAATGACGTAATGATTTTAGCACTTTGCTCCAGAAGTCGTATCCTGGAAACTAAGGACTTCTTTTCGGACCTAAGTTTTTATGAGTTTTTTGCTTTTTTTGGATAACGGATGTCCAGTTTAGTAGATCCTTGAAACACCTTGTAAAAGTCGCCTTAGGTGAGACTACGCTCGCGACTGCCAAACTCTCTTCCCGTACCACTCTTGCTACACTTGAGAAGCGCAATCCGTACATGACAGATTTTATTTTTAAATTAAATTGGAGTGTGTTTCCTTTCCCTCCTTTGATAAACTTTAAATGTGCAATCGCTTTACTGGTTGTATTAATATAGAGCGGCTTATAATTTTTCCTTTTTTTTGAGTACTTTGACTTTTTAGTTAAGGATCTATTTAAGAACAGAATATGAATATGTATTGCATATATTTATTAGTAAATTTAATAAGTTAGCAAAATGGGCAAGAACGAAAACATTATTTTAAAACAGTTCCTCTTGATAATTTCACTGAAATTTGCCATTCAAGAATTAAAAATTTTTAGAACATACAAAATTGAAAACTGTTTACTTTATAAACATATACCAGTTAAGTTTTAAATGCCGGATTAGACAAAAATTACCGGAACGTTTAACGCAAAACTGTCAAAACTGGGGGTTTTTGAACATGCAGAATTCAATAATGCTAACAACAATGATGTTATTGTGATTTTTATAATTCGGGTAACATTTTCCTGGCCCAGTTATAAAGCTTCCTATGTTCAAAAACCTCTAATAAATGGGGCATTCCATTTAAAATAACAAATTTATCACACGTAAAAGTGGTAAATCTGACAACACTGCATTTTGCAGTTCCAGCATGTTCCAGCTTTAAAATCAATTTACGTCATAACAAAAACTTTTTTTTTACCTGTCCTCAAAAAATCGTGCTTTTTTAATTTTCGTTTGTCAAATTTGAAAAATATGCCATATCTTCTTTAATACGAGAGATATATTGATTTTGCAAACACTTTGTTGACGCACACTAAATGACGAATTTCGAATTTGAGTTCAAACATTGTTTTTTTAGGATAGGCATCACAGTCCAAATCTTAATCACGGACCTGAGGTTTGTTTGGGAGTGATTTATATCCATTTTAGATGCTTCCTGTGATGGTCATGGTATTTAAGATGTATATTATACACATTTTTAATTTTAAATTAAGACACTTAATTTGTTAATCCATATTGCTTTCAATAATTTCGATTATTAATTATAAATATTGGTGGATTATATTGATTGATAATTTTAAAAAAGGCAGTGGCGTGCTTAAAAAAACAATTACTATGGCTATGTTTTGAGAATGAAGATTTGCAAATTATATTTTATGTTTATTTATTATTTTAAATTGAAACTTATATTAAAACTGATACACCCCAAATGTTTAGTTGAACCTGAAACTCATCCGGTTTAAACGGAGGCAAAAAAATCGACTTTGCCGGTTTGATTGGAGCCGTTGTCGAATAGAACCGAAGCAAAATGTGTGTTGAAGTTATTAAACGAGTGTTCGTTGTTTGTCGCTTATGGAAAATATTGACTTTGCCAAGCGGCTTAACGACTACAAACTTTTCAAAGTTGGCTTTCGAGATGACGGCGGGCTGCAAAAAACCGGAAATAAAATCCCGGAGTTGAAATACGACTTAATGAGCTTTAACGCCGGGCAAAGGAATAAAAATGACGCGAATGCCGAGGAAACGCGGGATAGTTTTATTTATTAGACGATTGGTTTCGATAGTTATGTACTGAGCGTTTCATGAAGGGTGAAAATCTCGAAAAGTTAACTCGACTAGAGCCTCAAAAATACCTTTTTGGAAATAACTTTGAAAAGGACGAAGACATCAAGTTGCGAGTTTTGGATATTTGGCACATTCAATCTATTTTTAGTATTTAATAGTACTTAGCACTTTACTGTCCCTAAACCGTAATACAAATATTCATAAAAACGAATGAATCTAAACACAGAAAACAGCGATTAAACATGAGAACCCTGAGACGCTCTGCAGGTTGCTACAAACTGTTCATTGAAATCATGTATAGTGAAAGCGATCTATTGTGGAGGCAAGACTTAAAGAGCAGCCCGCTAAAACCCAGCACGATTTAATGCTTCAGTTCTTTTAAGTTGGAAATAGTAAATGGCCTTGAAGCAGTGCTGATTAGGTGAAATAAGTAACTTCATATGACAAGCCAAACGAGCACAAATCAGCTTTGCAAAAGCTTTAGCAAAGGTTGATAGGATCACAATTGCTCAATAATTTTTAATATGCTGCTCTCGGCGATACACATAATATTCTATTCACCCTTAATGAAACAAAAAAAAATGGCGGTGAACCTTTAACTTACGTATGTTTATTTCCACGTTGCCTCGGTACCAAACTATTTTAGCGGCTGGCTTAGCGTTGCGAATTCTGCACTCCAAGTGGAACTCTTGGTTCTCCTTGATTTCGATTTTTGAGTTGTGTCTATGGTCGAGGATTTCCACCGACGATGGGGGCGCTGCAAATAAATGAAAAAACAATGCAATTTTTAAGAACCAAAACTGTAATTTAATATGTTAAGTTAATTGTTAAGGGTATACACAGATTAAAGAATATCATTTCAACTTTGCTTTCGACAATCTATTTCTAAGGTTATGTATGCTCGACCTAAATATAAAATTTCAACCTCAGTCTTGTAGCCTAATCATATTATATGCGGAGAATTTTTCTATCCAGAAGAAACAGCGAGTCTTTTGCATTTATTTCACCAACGATACCTCCATATTTAGTCGACATAATTACTAATTACTTAGAAGGTTATCTAGGAATAATACGTCTTTTTATAATCCGCTTCTTTCATTTTAAAATCCCTTTCATGCCGCCGCAGTCCGGAGTTTTATTTTTTGAAGCGTGCGCTCTTTGAGCCTCTATTACAAAGGCTCTAAGCGATGTATCTCCTGAAATTATTTTTTTATGGCTTCATGTAATACGTTCTTCGATAATGTTAACGTTGGTGTCCGATCCATTTGGCGTTTACCAATATTTTTGGCCGGACAGGTTTTAAGTCCAGGAAAAGTTTGAGACCTTTTTTATATCATTTATGCATCTGCAGGAATTCCTAATCATTTTTTTACTTCAATATAATTGTTACGTCATCGGCCGAAGAAGAATCACAGCATTGTTTTTTGTGTTCTGTGACAAAACGACATAATGTCAGATAAAGAAAGAGACACAGGGAGAAGAGAATGCCACTTGCCTCTAGAAAACAATTTATTGTGTATTTGTTTCCTGAACACACAACACAAAATAAAAAACCTTATTATTATTGTAAATTTTATCTAATTGTAGGTGTATTTGTATGTATGTGTATGCAAATAAATGTATGTTTCTTTCTCTTTTGTACTTAGGCATGCTGTAAACATACTATGTATTGTAATTCAGTCAAAAAAAAACCTATCTATTAATTATAATTAGCTAAAATCGTATTGCTCGTATAAATCAATACCAATCGTCTCGAAATTGCTCCATTCACTATACTCCATTCCGATTGAAATGGTGACACAATAAAACCAAGTAAGCTTTGGTGAATTTTAGGGATATAGATTTTTCCTATAAAGACGAGAAAGGAGAACAAAATTTTTAAACCAATTGTAATAAATAAAAACTTTATAACAAAGACTCCTCCGTTAAAATTCACCAAAGATGACGATGTTTGGTTTGGTTTGAATTACCCCGTAAGTAAATATAATTTTATAAGCATTGGTCGAAATTACATAATTTGGGTATTGGCTGGCCTGTTTGTTACCGCAAGATGGAGGTTGATCTGGCGCGCTAACTAATACGAAGGAACCGCAGAGAATCCATTGACGTGCGGGACGAATTTCGCGCGGCAATTCGATCGACGTTAAGGGGCCGAAAACGGATCATCAAATTGCTTTAATTGCTTTCCGAGATGAACGTAGAAACGGGTACGATTATAACTTTAATTAAAGCAGAGCGTTTCGGCAAAAATAACAACTACGGCGAAACATGTATCCATCAGTGTTTCGACATATAAAAAGAAATGAAATTAGTTTAGTTGTGAGACCGGAAGCGCGACGTGCTTTCGAACTTTTTCTGCGACGAAGCCAATCGAACGTTACCGATAAAAACCGATCACCCGCGTATAGACTTTCAAACGTTTTGCTTTCAAGGGAATCCTAATAATTAATTAATAATTAGAAATGAATGATTTCCGTCGAGAGAAATATTATTTATCCCTTAAATGCTTTTCCACGTTTTACTACTTAAAGGCGTCAATAATTAATGAAAGTTGTCTCCAAAAATTAATTGGTGACCGAGTTAGTGGCCTAAATTTTATTGTTGATGACAAAAAAAGTTATATTACTAAATATTTGAAAACAGAAAAGGATGTCGAAAAGTCGTAATAGTGTTTTATTTGGTAATTAAGGGACAATAAGGACCTAATAACAACCTAAGTGAAAATGCCTCAAAAAATTCAGCTTTTTTTGAGTTACAGATTTTTTATTTACATTTTAGATTAGGATAAAGATAAATGATATTCGGTTTTCACTGTATTCTTAAGTTAGGTTACTTTAATTATCTAATTCGTAAAAAAGTCATATCGTTGTTATTTTTTCAGATTTTCTTTTCTGATTATCTCAGAAAATGCCATTTGGTGGGAATGCAGGATTCAAAGCCTCAACTTTTTAATGATTAAAACAGTATAATTAAACAGCATAAAGAAATACAGAAAACGTGGCTGATGGATCGTTCAGAAATTCGAAAACAATTCACAGCATTTATACTTTACTTGTAAAAATATCAAAGGTTTTTCCTAATACCGTATGCCCTTGCTGACTTTTCCACTAAATTTCAGTGTATACTGATAAATGCTTTTTTTATCAGCACTGGCCACTCCCAAATGTCGGCTAATAGGAAGTTGCTCAGTACTTTATGGGAAGAATGAAATGAAGAATGAAAAGTCCCTCCCAAATTACGTTATTAGAAAATTGAGTCTCGTCTTGTTTTTGAAAACTGAAAATATAGTATATACTTTCCTACGACAGAAATCTTTACTGGGGAATATTAATGAAAATGCAACTTTTAATAGATACGCCAATAAACTTGTTTCAATCGCAGAAAATAAATAACCGACAAGTTGCTTGAAGTTTCTTTTAGCTAAACTTCAGTAAAGGAAAATAACATATTAATAATTCGGAATAGGAAACATTTACAGATAATATTCTACGACCTCCAAAAACCAACAAAAAAAATAACGAACCTGCGGACATGAAACATGTCTGTAATTTTTCAGAAAATTGAGAAAAATAATATCCGCGTGAAACTTTTAGCTGCATATGGACAACTTTATCTAATTTAATCAGACATTTGCTTGTTTCAAAAAGTTCTTAAGGGTGAAAAAATACAAAAATAACATACAGAATGGCCAGAAATAATTAAAATGTGTTATCATACTGAAATAGTGCTGTAAAAGCTATTCTAATAGAAGAAATTTTTCATTACGTGTAGTATTTCCAGTTTCTCGAGTTTCTCTTCGTTTTAAATCACCCTGTGCAATGTTTCATTTTGGAAAGCATTTTATTATATTTCAGGTTTATTTCTATAATTACTATTTTCTCTTTTTACGGTAATTTTTTTCACCGTTTAAAAATCTATCAGGGTTGTAAGTCGTAATACGAATTCCGGTCTCTCACTCATCTTACCTCTCGATCACGCGCCATGATAACCCGTTCAAAATAAATCATTCTGATTATACTTTAAACATTGTTTACGGATGATTACGGCGAGCAGTAGCAGCCGCTCAAAAACGTTGAAGCTAATATATTACAGTCAGATACGGGAGGGGATACCGGATTAGCCCGGTTGCCGGTAACCGCATTCCGGTGGGCGAAAAAATCTGACAGGTGCTCGCGCCGCCTTTTCCGAAGCGAATTAGAATTTATCGGGGGCCGCTGGATGCGGGGGCTTCATGTGGTGGGCAGCAGTACACCCGCTGGCGGAAAGAAAAATGAAAAGTAATAGCTTTCTGTGAGGCCACAGGGTGTTCACAGATACGTATATTTTTTGGGTTTTTTCAAGAGAATTTTTGATAATTAGCTTCTGGTACAACAATAACACAGGTCTACAGTGATTTTGATGTTTGAAAGCTGTTTGCTTATTTATATATGTTTGGGGGCCCTTTTACCAAAAAACTAACGAACAAACGCCATATTTTGCTATATCACGTCATTACTTTTATAACGGTCAATATCCTAAAAAACATACCTATGACGTGAATATGTTTGTTCCATGTTGGGCATGATTGTTAAGTGAATTGAATTTTATGAAATTAAACGTGATTTGGGGCCACTGGATAATATTAGATTTATCTGCAAAGCAACAGAGATGGCGCAGAAGCGTCAATACAGCGTTGTAAGATGCTTATGCGCAACTTGGTTTTATTGGTATTGGTCGTCGTGTTACTGTGTTCGCGGCTGTTTTTCTAGTGTTCCAGAACATGTGTGATGTGTGAACATCCAAATAAATTTTGTTATATCTGTAGTGGTTATGTCGTTGTAAAGCAAAGGCAAACTACAACTTCTTTTGTGAAAAATGTATACCACGCTTACTTTCGTGTAAAAATTGGCGACCAAGACAAGCCCTGGGCTCCTCATACCATTTGTTCCGCTGAACCATTAAGGCACTGGCAAAAAGATAGGAAGGCTTTGGTGTTCGTATGGTATGGCGAGAGCCTAGGAATCACAGTGATAATTGTTATTTTTGTTCGTGTAATATTCAAGGAGTAAACAGAAAAAATTATGTATCCCAATCTTGACTCTGTTATTTGACCAATTCTTCATGGACCAGATGTACCGATACCTACCGCCACAAAATAACTAGAAAACGTCATATCGTCAAAAATCAGAGGAATCTAATTCCGAACCAGATGACTCAGAGTTCACACCAGATTTCAGAAAGCCCGAAGTGTATAACGAGAGCGAGATTTGCACCTTCTAAACTATGCATCCGAATTGTTAATGTCCAGACTTCGTGACACCTGGCGTCACATCAAGCTTTTACCGGGGTCTCGAAAAAGAGTTATGTCAAAATTTTAGTCAGGAAGGACCGCTAGTGAATTGCAAAAATATTCCTGACTTAATTTCAAAATTAGGAAAAGTGCCGTATATAAAAAAAATTGACTTCAGTAAGCGTCGTTTAAAAAGCGATTTATTGCACAATGGCAATGAACTGGTTTCGGAAACTTTAATTTTGTAGACCTGTGCGCTGGTCAATATCTCAAAACAATTAAAAAATAGTAACGAGTCACTTTTTGGATATAAAATTCATTATTGAAAAGAATATTGACAGACAATTTTGAGATTATGTCGCACCAGTGCGGATGAAGGTTAAACTAAAGTTAAGTTTCTGATCTCAAATGGGAAATTTTCAATGTCGATTTGTCTGTTTTGGTTTGGGATTTCTAATGGTCTCAATATACGCAAATTGAAATGGCCG